TGATCAACTTCTTCTACTATGTTGCCAACGAGATGCGTGCTATCATGGCCAAGTTGGGCGTTCGCACCGTGAATGAGATGGTTGGACGTGCCGAGCTTCTCAGGGTCCGTGACGATATCCGGAATGCCAAGCAGGAGAAGATTGACTTGTCGCTCATTCTTACTCCTGCCCACTCCCTGCGCCCCGGCGTCGCTACCTACAATGTCCGCAAGCAGGACCACCGTCTGCACACTCGCCTCGATAACAAGCTGATCGCCGAGTCTGAGCTTGCCTTGGAGAAGGGCCTCCCTTGCAGAATTGAGTGCGACATTGTCAACACTGATCGTGGCTTGGGTGCTACCTTGTCTTACCAGGTCAGTCGCCGTTATGGTGGCGAAGGCCTTCCCCAGGATACCATCCACGCCAACATCAAGGGCTCCGCTGGTCAGTCATTCGGTGCTTATCTTGCTCCTGGTATCACTCTCGAGCTGGAAGGCGATGCCAATGACTACGTTGGTAAGGGTCTCTCGGGAGGTCGCCTTATCATCTACCCCCCTCGTGGTGCTGCATTCAAGGCTGAAGAAAACGTCATTGTTGGTAACACTTGCCTGTACGGTGCCACTCGCGGTACTTGCTTCTTCCGCGGTATGGCTGCTGAGCGTTTCGCTGTCCGTAACTCCGGTGCTACCGCAGTCGTTGAGGGCGTTGGTGACCACGGTTGTGAGTACATGACTGGTGGTCGCGTCCTCGTTCTGGGCTCGACTGGTCGTAACTTTGCTGCTGGTATGTCTGGCGGTATCGCCTACATCCTGGATATGAAGCAGGACTTCCACTCCAAGGTCAACATGGAGATGGTTGAGGTGTCCGGCTTGGAAGATCCCGCCGAGATCGCCTTCGTTCGTGGCTTGATTGAGGATCACCATCACTACACCGGATCGGAGCTCGCCGCCCGTATCTTGCTGGACTTTACTCGTGCCCTTCCTCACTTCGTTAAGGTGCTGCCTACGGATTATAAGCGGATCCTACAGGAGGAAGCTGCCAAGGCTGAAGCCGCCAAGAAGGCAGAGTTCTCTTTGCCTCAGCTTCCTAGCACTCCAGTTCCTGCGGAGAAGCCCAAAGCTCAGTCCGACGATGCCAAGAAGGTTGAGATGCTAGATATCGAAGATAGCATCAGCGACTCTAAGACTGAGAAAAAGCGGTCTGCGCTCATTTTGGACAAGACCAGGGGCTTTATGAAATACAACCGGCGCAGCGAGAAGTACCGCAACCCGGCAACTCGTACGCGTGACTGGGCTGAGCTTTCTAATCGCCTGAGCGAGGATGAACTTAAGTACCAGTCCGCGCGCTGCATGGACTGTGGTGTGCCTTTCTGCCAGTCTGACACTGGTTGCCCGATCTCCAACATCATTCCCAAGTGGAATGAGTTGGTGTTCCAGAACCAGTGGCAGGATGCTCTCAACCGGCTACTCATGACGAACAACTTCCCCGAATTTACTGGTCGCGTTTGCCCTGCTCCTTGCGAAGGTGCTTGTGTCCTTGGCATCAACGAAGACCCCGTGGGTATCAAGTCTATCGAATGTGCCATTATTGACCGTGGTTTCGAGATGGGCTGGATGGTTCCTCGCCCTCCCAAGACTCGCACGGGCAGGAATGTTGCGATCATCGGCTCTGGCCCTGCAGGTCTCGCTGCTGCCGATCAACTTAATCGGGCTGGCCACACGGTCACTGTTTACGAGCGCGCTGACCGTATCGGTGGTCTTCTGATGTATGGAATTCCCAACATGAAGCTGGACAAGAAGGTCGTGCAGCGTCGCGTTGACCTGATGGCTGCTGAGGGTGTCAAGTTTGCTGCCGGTACCCCCGTCGGCCCAGAGCATGAGATCACGCTAGACTCTCTGCGCCAGACTAACGACGCTGTTATCATTGCTACTGGTGCCACGGTGGCCCGTGACCTGAAGGTCCCTGGACGTGAGCTTGACGGCGTTCACTTCGCCATGCAATTCCTGCACCGTAATACCAAGTCTTTGCTGGACTCCAACCTTGCCGACGGGGCGTACATCTCCGCCAAGGACAAGCACGTCGTGGTTATTGGTGGTGGTGATACTGGAAACGACTGCATCGGTACATCTGTGCGTCACGGTGCCAAGTCTGTCACCAACTTCGAGTTGCTGCCTCAGCCTCCGCCGGAGCGTGCCCGCGACAACCCGTGGCCTCAGTGGCCCCGTATCTACCGTGTCGACTACGGTCACTCCGAGGTCAAGACGCACATGGGCAAGGACCCTCGTGAATACTGCGTCATGTCTAAGGAGTTCGTTGACGACGGTAGTGGCCGTGTCAAGGGTATCAACACGGTTCGTGTTGAGTGGACCAAGAGCGCTTCTGGTGGCTGGGATATGAAGACCGTTGAAGGCAGTGAGCAATTCTTCCCCGCGGACCTTGTTCTTCTCTCCATGGGCTTCCTTGGGCCCGAGGACCGGGTCCTGGGCGAGGAAATTGAACGTGATGCCCGCAAGAACGTCAAGACCCCACCAGGACATTACTCCACCAGCGTTCCGGGTGTTTACGCTGCTGGTGACTGCCGTCGTGGCCAGTCTCTCATCGTGTGGGGTATCAACGAAGGTCGTCAATGCGCTCGTGAAGTAGACACCTTCTTGATGGGCATCAGCTCTCAACTCCCTGTCACTGGTGGTATTGTGCGCCGGCCCGCTATCGATGCCGTTCCTCAGGCTGCTCAGCAGACAGTATCTGCTTAAGTCCATCAGAGGTTGCGCCTTGCCGCCGAACCCGCTAGACTGGTTCTAGCTTTGACTGCATGAAACCTCAGTCATGATAGCAACGAATCCACGATTTTCTATGTCGAGAAGAGAAAAAGTGTTTTGACTCGGCCAGGCCATGTTGGGTGGCTTAAAATCTATCACGGCAATTACTTTGATCTTTACTACGATACGTTGCGTCCGTCTTATGGAAGTTTAGGGTGGGATACAGTCCAATGAAATTATATTTTATTTGGTTTTGCTGTTTTGAAGGATGATTTGCAGCGTTCTGTTCCTTCTCAAAAGAGGTGCGAGGTGTCGGAGCGTTTGTGATTTCCGTCCAACACATTTTGATGTACATATTCTCTTCATGACCATATCAATCCCATGGTTCAGTCCATTTTTCCCCCTTTCCAATTCATAAGAACGCACTAGTAGAAATCCCGAAATACCATCTATCAAAGTAGTATGTATGGCTCCGCAGAGTAAGTGCATATGACCGGACTCCCATATACTTGACGCATGCCAGTCGCGTGGTATATACCAGCCAAGCCAGTCTAAGACAAGTACTATAGTAGAATAGAATAGGAACGGGCAGCTCTACACCCAGTCCCTAGTATCCATATCCTCATCCTCATCAATCTCATACCCCTCCTCCCTCTCATTCACCTGCTCCCAGAACTCCGCCCCCATAACATCCGACGCCTTCCTCTTCTTCATCATCTTCCTCATCTTCCTCTTCTCCACCCGACCCCCCTTAACCGGACTCGGCCGACGAGGGATCACCGCCCCAAACCCACCATTACTACCAAAAGGACCAGCACCACCCCCACCAGCAGCAGCAACAGAAAACCGCGCAAAATCCCTCTGCTGCGCCTGTCTCGCATGCATCACCGCCACCTGCATCAGATATCCCTCCTCCATGAGAAGGACCTGGTCCAGGAAGTCACCGCCCAGAAAACTCAGCGCGTCGTAGACGATGTTTAATCGAAGCGTGCTGATCTGGGACATGTGGTACAGGTTGCGGTAGAACATTTCGTTGTCGAGTTGGGTTGGAGGTTTGCGGATGGGTTTGAGGGGACGGTGGATGATGGGGTGGCTCCGTGGTGGGCTGGGTTTGGGGATGGTGGGGGAGAAGGTGGATGAGGAGGTTAGGGCTGCGGTGGAGGAGGTTGCTGATGTTGTTGTTGTGCTGCTGAGGTCGATCCAGGAGGTCGAGGGGGAAGATTGGGGTGATGGGGTTGGGGAGGGGGAGTAGATGGGGATTTCGGTGATGGGGCCCCAGGTTACGGATTTGGGGGGATGGAAGTGGTAGGGTGGTTGTTGTTGTTGTTGGTGGTGAGGGTGGGTGAAAGAGGATGGAGATGGGAATGGGAATGGGGGGTGGGTGGTTGTTGGGGCTGCTGGTGGTGGGATTGATGTTGATGTTGATATTGATGCTGGTGGTGGTGTTGGTGTTGGTGGTCTGTGAGGAAGTTGACGAAGTTGAGCTGGGAAGGCAGGTCCTTCGATAGTATCCAGCGTCTTCTCCGTATTCGTGGTCATATTCACGTCCATGTTAGGGTAGTTCCTGGTGAGGCTGCTAGCCTTGATAGTAGTAATAGTAGTAGTAGTAGTATATTCAGAATTCGAGTCCTCTGTATAATTGTTGGTGGTGGTAGTCAGCATGGCAGAAATGCGATGGAAGAGCGTGCGCATGCGATATGTGGCGGTTAATGGGAATTTCAGTCTCTGCTTGATGCGAAGAGGTTTTTTGAAAGATCCAAAAGGACGCATCATATCAGATGTTTATTGTTCCCGAAGGAGTTCATATCGTAGCCATGGTGCTTGAGTGGCCCAATGGTTGGCTGTTGGTGATTGCTGATGATGACAAGGGTGCTGTTGTTATGTGAGGTCTATATATAGGAGCTGCACAGAGGAGAACAGGTCAAGAGGAATAAAGACACATCGGGATTGTCCGTCGGAAGCAAGTCGCTTTATTGTGTGCGTGAGAGACGGAGACTTCCTTTGTCCTGGGGATGGTGGCTGAGACAATTGGGATGCTCAGATGATGATGGGTGATTGATTTCTGCTAATGCTATTGTACAACGTGCCCCACGAGTTCGGGAGACAGGTATCCATCTACATGGTATCAAATGTGAAAAAAAAGGGGAGATCCCTAGGTATGTGTGAAGAGATCTGACACAAAGACGAAAAAATGGATGGGGTCATGATTGGTTGGCTTCTTTTTTAGGCCGTAGCAGCTTTCTGCCGCGCTGCTTCTTCTTCCTCTGCCTGCATTTCCCGTTCCAGGGCCGCGAAATCCCCGGAGAACGCATTCTGCACCGGCTCTGTCCGCACGTCCCACACGTCTTCGCTGCTGGGCCCTGTCTTGTACTTGATGGCTTTCTTCCGGTTGTGATCGCGGATTGCCTTCCGGCGCTGCTGATCCGGTAACGTGCGGGTCTTCATGCACATCCAGAAGTTGTCCCAGTGTTCGCTGCAGGACCGCAGCTCACCATAGCGGTAGACGTTGACAAACTGGCCTCCGAAGGACTGGCAGAAAAAGGCATAGTCGAATGCGGAGCGACAGGACATGGTATCATCGTATAGGGATTCGGGGGCAATGGACGAGGGAGGTGCTTGAGGATCGGCGGAATTGGATGGGGATGATGCGGAATCGGATGAAGTGGAATTACCAGCAGATGGTGTCTGCTGCTGCTGCTGCTTTTGACCACTGATATCGCTCTCCAGGCTGGCGATCAGCGTCTTCCATTCTGCGTCGGCCTGCTCCTCGCGGGTGAGAGTCCGGGGTTGCGGTGGTTGTGAAGGTGCGGAGGTGGTCTCTGGAGGGGGTTGTGAAGCAGGAGAACTGGAGGCAGCAGGCGTGGAAGACTGGCCCTCTTTAGGGGCGGAGCTCCACCACCAACCCATGGCAGTGACTGGTTTCAATGGAGGATAGAATGGGAGTCTCCGGGGGATGTTTGGATGGGGACCAAGAAGAGACGGCGGAATTAAGTTGAATGGATTCAAAGCGGATCGAATCCTAAATTTCACCCGAACGCGCAGTGACCGTAATGCGGAGCTGCCCCGCACCACCAAAGATATAATACCCGTCACATCTTGTATTGGTCCAGATCATCCAGTCGACGTCATAGTTGGAGACTCCAGGAACAGCGTCTCTTGTTCTTCAGGAACCCCTCTAGCTTCCTGCACAATGCTGTGAGGTCTGCAGAGATGATGCGAATCCCCTATCGAGCGGTGGTGCCACGCGCAACTTTACCCCATGCACGCTTCAGTAGACCTTCTGCGATTCCTTCCTTGACAAAGGCGTTCATCGTCAATCGGCGTACTTCCTCACATGCCTCTTTCATCGAGACTGGGCACATTGATGTGAAAGACGACGAGGGTCTTGTATTTGTGAATAGTATGGGTTTCGCGCCTCTGATACTGTATGCCTTGCTAACAATCCATGTTGGGGGTAGATATCTTTCCGTCGAAGCTACAATGGTTGCTACAAGGCCCGCTGAGCGGGACTAAAACCTACGAAGAGGCGTTGAAACGAATCAACAGACCCCATCTGGCGGCGTCGGATCCATTGCATATAATCCGCCGTGTCTTCCCCCAGAGCCTGAACGTCGACATCCGGGAAGTCATTCCGCGCTTCAGAGAAGGCGGTGCTTTCGTGAAATATGTTCGCAAGGATGGTGTCCGAGACACTGACATTGTAACCGCCGTGCAAGACCATCTGGAGCACAATCCTATCCGGCCCTGGTTCAACCCGTTTCAGCAGGTCAAGGTTGCCCACGTACATGGCAGACCGTGGATCGAGGATCTATATCGCATCCCAAGCCAGCGGCTGCGCGTGGAATTCCTGCCAGGCTCTGTTGATGGAGCCGCAACGGAACTGACCACGGAAACGTTGTATTCTTTCTTCAGAAGATATGGAAAATTAAGGGACATTGAGAGACAGCCGACCGATTCGAAAATCGCTCCGAGATATGCCTTTGTGTCGTTCACGCGGCAAAAGTACGCAGTCATGGCCAAGAACTGCATGCACGGGTTCACCATCCCGGAGCAAGAAGGCGGCGGCAAGTCCGGAACGAGGATTAAGATCAAGTACGAGCGGAAGATCAAGTTATCAGTCATCAAGGACTGGATCCTGAACCATCCGAGGATCGTGATCCCTGCCATTGCCGCACTCATTGCGGCCATCACTGTGACCATCTTCGACCCTATCCGCACATTTTTCATCGAAATGAAGATCAAGGCCACTCTGCAAACTGAAGAGAACAGTGTCCTTCAATGGATCCGGAATCAGGTCAACAAGGCCAACATCATCTACTTCGGGCGCCAGAGAACAGACCCTCGTCGTCTCACTGCGATATGGGAGGATCGCCAGGGAGACATTAAGCAGTTGCAGTCCTGGCTGATGGAGAATGCCGAGACGTTCATCGTCATCCACGGCCCTCGGGGCACGGGAAAGCGAGAGCTTGTGTTGGACAGAGCACTCGAAAACTACAAGTACAAGGTCGTCATCGATTGTAAACAGATCCAAGACGCCAAAGGCGATACTGCAAAGATAGCCCGTGCTGCTAGCCAGGTCGGTTATCGGCCTGTGTTCTCATGGATGAACAGCATGAGCAGCTTTATCGACCTAGCTGCGCAGGGCATGATCGGCACCAAGGCTGGCTTCTCTGAGACATTGGATGCGCAGCTGAGCAAGATCTGGCAGAATACTGCCACTGCCCTAAAGAAGGTTGCCCTGTCTAACAGGAAAAATGATGACAAGGAGGCACACCTCTCAGACGAAGAGTACCTAGAAGCTCACCCCGAGAAGCGTCCCGTCGTAGTCATCGACAACTTTCTGCATAATGCCTCTGAGAGCAGTGTGGTGTACGACAAGATCACCGAGTGGGCCGCAGGCCTCACAACCGGAAACATTGCTCATGTAGTATTCTTGACTACTGACGTTTCCTTCTCCAAACCTCTGAGCAAGGCATTGCCAAACTCAGTGTTCCGGACCATTTCCCTAGGTGATTGCTCGCTCGACGTGGGCAGAAAATTTGTCCTCAGCCACCTTGAGCATGGGGAGAAGGATGGAGCCAACTTAGGCCAGAACATGGAAGAAGTAGGAGACTTGGGTACCCTGGATAGCTGCATAGAAGTGCTGGGAGGCCGAGTGACCGACCTTGAATTTATGGCACGGCGCATCGAGACTGGAGAAACGCCCAGAGGTAGGTTGGATCCACTTTGGCTGATCAATGGCGCGTATGGCTAAAAATAAAACAGCGGCAGTTAATCGCATCATCGAACAATCGGCATCCGAGATCTTGAAGATGTTCGTCTTTGACCCGGACATTGAATCCAAACAGTGGAGCCACGAACAGGCCTGGCATTTGATTAAGACGCTAGCCCACTCTCAGGATGGCACTTTACCGTACAATCAAGTTCTCCTCTCCGATTTGTTCAAAGAGAACGGCGAGGCCACCCTCAGAGCTCTTGAACAAGCCGAGCTTATCGCAATCAGTTCCGTCAACGGATGCCCTGACGCAGTGAAGCCTGGCAAGCCTGTCTATCGGGCGGTATTTAAGCGGTTAACGGAGAACAAGACGCTGAGTAGCCGGCTGGACCTGGACATCGTCAAGCAGCTGCTGAGTAGTGAAAACAAGAGCATTGGGAAATATGAGCAGGAGCTACAGGTATTGGGTTCTCTCCCCAAGCAGCCCCGAGAGCTCAGCGCACGGATTCAGTGGCTCCTGCAGAAGGTGGCAAGTTCGCAGAACAAGATCAGCCAGTATGAACGCGAGAGTGCCATCTTACAGAAGGTGTTGCGCCGAGAGCATTGACCACGAGGAGAATATGTCTATTCTGTATCATTGATAGTAATGACTAGTTAGTTGCACCGAATGAATGATGAGCCATAAATAGTACAGAGAGTACGTAGTAAACAAGTTGAAGATGAAACCAACCGGGAACGACTTTAGCCGCAGGCCAGATCAGGTGTGGCTGAGCTAAGCGTCACAGCCCGTACGGTAATTTACTGAATAATCCAGTTTGGCCATCATTTCAAAGCAAGCATCAAACTCTCGTTTCTTTCCTTTGCTTCAGGCGTTGCACAAATCTTTCTTTACTTTTTATTTTTATTTCTTCGATTTCCCCCTTCTGAATGGGAATTGTTTATTTACCTTTGGTGTAAATTGCGCTCTCTTTTTCTGGATATCCATGTCATCTCACTTGTGATCGCATCCCCCGTCCTTCTTTTCCCTAATTCTGCCCCCGTTTTCGGGCCGGTTCTTCCTCGTTCATTACGATGGAACAGTATGACTTGTTAGCGCCAGGGAATCTTGTACGATTCGTCGGCGATGTTCTCAAGACTATCGGATGGCCAGCCATAGTGGCTATTCTGGTCTCCATCTGCGTGGTGACTCGTCTCATCACCGAATATCAAAGTCGTTCCCGTGGGATCTCCGAGGGACGTCCGCGTCCCGTAAGGACGGTACCATATTGGCTGCCCTGGCTCGGCCATGGCCCGGCTTTTGCCTGGGACCATGTCGATCTCATTCAAAAGTCCAGGTTTGTCTCCAAATCAGCCAAATAGCTGCTGCAAAGTTCTCACAAATTCTACAGAAAGTCGATGAAGGAGGCCGTGTTTGGAATCTACATGGGTGGCACCAAACACGATATTGTCCTGGCCCCATCCCTGGTCAACTCGGTATTGGCTGCTCGGGGTACCTCCTCGACGGACTTGATCAATTATGCCCTTGAGAAGATCTTTGGCGACCGAGGTGTGGTTCGTAAATTGAATCCTGTAGACCATCATACGCTCAACCACAATATTCCCAACCTTCTCATGCGGGAGCCTTTCTTGACCGAAGGCACCAGAACCGCTACCCGCTTGATTGAACGGGAGATCCCTAATTTGGTGACCAACTGCCGAAGCATCGTGGACCAGATGCTGTGGGAGCGCGGGAGCCAGGCTATTGTCGTTGACGGGGAAGACCCGCTTGCCTGCGAGGTGAACTTTTTCGCCCTCATCAGAAGGTTCGTTGGACACGTTACTACGGCAATTTTCATGGGCGAGGCCATTCTTGAGGCTTTCCCTGCCCTGCTGGAAGATGTGTTCACGCTGGACAATCAGTTTGTGCCTCTGTCCATGGGCATCCCTCGGTTGGCCCACCCTGGGGTTTCTGCAGCGCATGTTGCCCGTCGACGGCTCCTCGATTCTCTTACAGAGTACCATCAGGCCTTCGTTGCTTGGGATGATGGGATTGATCCTGGACTCACGTTTCAAGATCTTGACGACATCTCGGAACCTATAAAGGAGCGGATCCGCAAATGCAAAGAGCTAGGACTTTCTGCAAGGTCTAGCGCACCAATACATCTATCCTTGCTTTGGGCGATGAACGGAAACTCCCCGAATGTTGTCTTTTGGCACCTTCTCCGGATGTATGCCAGCCCTACGCTCCTGGAAGAGATTCGCAAGGAGGTCGCTCCTTATGTGAAGATTGTCCGGCAGGAAAGCGGCTTCGCTTTCCAAGAAGCCCCCAAGCTGTCAATCGATACAGATGCCCTAGTCAAATCGTGTCCTTTGTTGAAGGCAAGCTTCTATGAGACATTGCGCTTAGATTCAGCGCCTCTGTCGTTTCGGGGAGTTACCGCTGACCTCACCATCACGGAATCCGCTGAAGATGCCGCTATCGCCGGCGTAGCGCAGCCTCGGTCATATGAGCTCAAGAAGGGCGATACCGTGGCTATTCCGCACGCTGTTCTCCATACAGACCCCAAATACTTCGCTAATCCTCGTGATTATGACCCAATGAGGTTCATTTCTACCGACTCCGAAACCGGCCAGAGGAAAGCGAACGTACACACCATCAAGCCATTTGGTGGCGGAGTATCGGGATGCAAGGGCCGTGCCTTTGCAGAGCGGAAGCTCCTTGCGTTCGCCGCGGCAATCATCACCATGTGGGATGTCAAGCCCGCCCAAGAGGGAGGCTTCACCATTCCTGAACATCGGCCGTCTGGCGCGGCATATCTGCCTCGGAAGGATGTCCGGGTGCGGATCACGCAGCGTGCTTAAGGAGCGGTGGGGGCTATAGTACATTTAATTACGAGTATAATCTGAAATACCTCTAATCAATCTAAGGCGTCAGTGATTCTGACAAAGTTTGTAGACCGACTAGGAATAGCCGAGTCCTCATGCGGCATTATGACGCTGCACACATATTCCTCAGCAGTTGTGCCTCCACAATATCATCACCGTCTTCGACCCTTATATGTGCATACCTGCAATATTCGTCTCCACATATCATCTGCAATCACTGATCCTTCCTTTATCGTTCAAGGGTCTTTGAAGATTCTTCCTAGATGACGGAGAATCACGGTGCCGGGATCATTTCCCAGATGTCGACTTTGGGGTATCTCAAAGAAAAAACATTATGGAGGCCCGCTACTTGTGACGGTAGGCCAAAATAATCTGCTGTTAGGAAAGACTGCCATCCGTGGCATGATCTTGATTATAAGACCACGTCTCCATGTTTATGCGGTGCCAGCGAAGATACACGCAAATAAGATGGTTAAAGATGGTTCTGAGGTTACATGTCCAATCTCTATCAAGTCCTTTACATGCTTCGGTCTTCCGAGCGAATCTGAGCAATCGAGACCAACATAAGCACTCTGGCCCCTGCATCCGGAGTGCCATTTTAGCGCTCCGATAGGACGATTGAGGGGAAAAGTAAGTAGGATCTTTGGGTTGAGTGCGCTGATCAGCCCATGCCCTCTGGGCATCCTTCAAGAAGACTTGGTGCTCCAATCGGAGGACTGGATTTCACCTAACCTGCTGTGTCAGCGGAAATGGACTGGGAGTCACCTGGATTTCTCGTCTTTTTGTCGGTTTGTCTGGACTTTGTCAGCCAGTGACGGATATGTTAATAATCTTGATGCCTCACTTCACGGAGACGCCAATGGGTTGCCGCTATACATGCATCATAAGCGGCACTACCATTTCTCGTCTCCTCGGACCATTTCATGATCAGTATATATGCATTTCAACCCTTGCGATAACTCTCTATACATTCATTGGCCTTGCATTGATCTAAGTCTCTTCTAATCATAAAGAATATCTCCCCTGCCGAACGACTTCCACAGCGCACGGAGCTCTGTGATATGGAGGGAGTGATGGAAGACTATTTACAGGAGGCTCGAAATAAGCCCGTGTCATTGCCAAAGCTATCTTGCGCTTCCAAACTCCCGTTCCCTCCACCTTTAGGGGCCGACGGTCTGCCTCGAAGTGTCCCAGATACTTCTTATGACGCTATCTGATCGCCGAAGAATTGAAATTACTTGGGAACTGTGTCCGACTCTCACTACCCTAGCTTACCAACCACGCTTGAAAGACTTCGGTTGGGTTGTATCTTCGTAATGCGGAGAGGGAGCTGAGACTACACAGCCAGTTTGCTAGTGCAGGAGTTGCCTGTGCCTTGGCATTGTACCAGAGAAGGACTAGATTATTGACACGGAGTTCAGTTCCATTATGTTCTCGTTCATAGATCCTCTAAGCTAATTGAGGATGATCGGTTGGTTATCAATGCTCGGGCCGAAGAGTTGCATCGTTCTCTTCCGTTCCGTCTAACAGCAACTGTAACTGTTCGCTAGCACGTCGATTGAGAAGGCTCTAGCGACTTAGCCCGAAGGTTAGGTAGGCTACCCATGTACCCGAACCTAGTGCTTTTTCGGTTTGAAGCTAGCAACTAGTCATACGAAGCCAATGGGGAGAGAGACTATGCAGGTATGACAAGCTTTTGCTGCGGAAAAGAATCCGGGCAACCCTACCCACAATGTCGCCATCGCTCGTATAACATCATTACGCCCCATCTTCAATTGCAGACAACATTCAATTTTCGGGGAAATAACGTGTTGCTTTTGCCCTCAGAAGATATCAGTCATGGATAATATCTCACACACCTCGCCTCGAAGCGACTATGACCTATCGACCCCCATAACCTCCACCTCTGGACTCCGTCAAGGCCTATCATCCTATGGCGATGCGCATTTCTCTCTATTCCTGCGAAAAGTCTTCATCAAGGCCCTGGGATACTCCGATGAAGCGCTCTCTCGCCCCATAGTTGGCATTATCAATACCTATTCCGGGTTCAATCCATGCCACGCCAATGCCCCTCAGCTGATCGAAGCCGTGAAACGGGGCGTTCATCTCCAGGGAGGGCTTGCTATCGAGTTCCCGACGATTAGTATCCAGGAGAGCTTTTCTCATCCAACAAGCATGTTTTTGAGGAACTTGATGAGTATGGATACCGAAGAGATGATTCGTGCTCAGCCGTTGGATGCGTGCGTTATGATTGGAGGTATGGACATGCCACCTTTCCCCTTCCTATCTCTAGAGACACAGAAAATAAATTCAGGAATTGCTGTTCAGCTAACATCACAGAGGCTGTGATAAAACTGTTCCTGCTCAGTTGATGGGCGGCATCTCTGCCAATAAACCCATACTTCCGCTTATCACGGGCCCGATGTTGCCGGGGAGTCATCGCGGGCAACGCATTGGGGCTTGTACGGATTGCCGGAATAACTGGGCAGCATTTCGAGCGAAGGAAATTGACATTGAAGAAATATCGGCTATCAATGAGGAGCTGGCCCCGACGGTTCGTATTATAGTATATGATGCTCGAGAAGACCTTAATCTTTGCTGATTATATTTGCAACAGGTCGGAACGTGTGGGGTTATGGGAACTGCCAGTACAATGGCATGCATCACAGCAGCTCTGGGCATGATGCCGCTCCGTGGCGCGTCCGCGCCAGCAGTCTCCTCAGCGAGAATCCGAGTGGCCGAGGAAACAGGGGCAAATGCAGTGGCGGTGGCACGCGCTGAACGACGACCTCAAGATATCCTCTCGAAGGAGTCCTTTTTAAACGCCATCACGGTGTTACAAGCTATCGGAGGTTCGACTAATGCTGTTGTACACCTAATGGCTATTGTGAACAGACACCCCAAGTTACAAGGGGTAATCACTTTGCAGACTATAGAGGAAGTCGGCCAGCGGACACCGCTCCTCATTGACCTAAAGCCAAGTGGTGACAACTACATGAACGACTTCCACAATGCAGGTGGAATGTTGGTGTTGCTTCATACTCTCCGCCCACTTCTTCATCTCTCAGCCATGACCATAAGCGGTCAAACGTTGGGCGAAGTACTGGATTCTTCACCGTTCAGGACATTTCCCCTCTCGCAGCAGATCATCAGACCGCTATCTGATCCTCTCCACCCTTCATCCTCGCTAGTCGTCCTCCGGGGAAATATCGCGCCCGATGGAGCCGTCATGAAGGCATCTGCATCCAAGGATCGACGCTTGCTCTCTCATTCTGGACCAGCCGTTGTTTTCGAGAACTCCATAGATCTTGCTAAGCGCATCGATGATCCCAACCTCGAGGTCACTCCAGATTCAGTCTTGGTTCTGAAGGGCATCGGGCCCATAGGCAACCCCGGAATGCCCGAAGCAGGCCTGATACCTATCCCTCGTAAGCTTGGCTCCGCAGGCGTCAAGGACATGCTGCGTCTGTCCGATGGACGCATGTCAGGAACAGCAGGAGGTACTATTGTTCTTCATATATCACCCGAGTCAGCGCTGCGGGAGTCGCCATTCGGAGTGGTACAAACAGGAGATTTAATTACTTGCGACATTACAAAGAGAAAGCTTCAGCTTGAGATTTCAGATGAAGAGCTGAAACGGCGAATTGACGCCCGGAAACAGGCGCTCAAAGCTAACGGGGCGGAAAGATCGCATGCTAATCAGAGGGAAAGAGGGTATCGGGGGCTGTATGAACGATCGGTGAACCAGGCACAGGATGGCGCTGATTTTGACTTTCTCGCAGCGAGTGGGCCATCATTTTATGATGGAAAGTAAACCATGGATATTGAGTTGTTGTAGGAATGAGACAGGTAGATAATCGGCAGCCCTGACCCAGTGCCCTAAGCCCTTCATTACCGCCCGAATAGGCAAAAGTAGATGCAACGCGCGGAACGCGTTCCCCAAATCGGGCGGCGCGTTGCAGGAGAGCCGGAGAGAGTCTCACCTCCGCATCGCAACCACGAGCGTCACATACAATGTCAGATCGGGGCTAGATCGATGCGCTGAAATTACTTACTTTATTTTATCATAACTCCAGAGGCATCGTATTTCTCGTCACCCCACCATGGCTACTGAAGCTATGCGTCCCCGGGGCCGACCAGCCCGTGAGTATACAATCGCCCTATACCTTCCTCGACTTGCTAACATTGTGTGATTGCCTGCCAGACACCCCCGGGACTACGGTACTAGCATATACACCGGACGGACGTCGCGTTATCACGGGCGGTTCCAACTCTGCGATTCGGATCTACACTGTTGGACAGGATGGAGAGCCGAAGACAATTGATGAGGGTGTGGATGGACATCTTGGAATCGGAGCAACTGTATGCTCTCTGACACGCTATGCGTAATATATATGCTTGGATAATATGCTAATATATCCCGCGGCAGAATGAATCATTTATCATGGGCGCCGAAGACGGTACCGTCTGGCAATACGAAATAGCGTCTGGCCGGATGGAGAAGCTGCTTGTTCGATGCGCTCTACCGGTGCGCGATATCGCCGTCTCGAAGGACGGGGAGTGGGCGGCTGTTGCAAGCGAGTCAGTAACCTACCTTTATATTGAGCACTTGATGTATCAGGGATGAAGCTAACAAAATGTGCGCTACTGCTAGTGAGCTTACGGTCAAGATCGTGAACATCGAGGACATGACAAAGGTTAAATATCTCCGGGAACAAGCCAAGGGAACAAAGCATGTCACCTTCGACCCCAGCGGGCGGTACGTTACAGTATCATGTACAGACGGGATGCTCTATATCTATTCGATGCTTTCCGACGAGCCTGAATTGGTCCGCAAGGTGGATGGAGTGATCCGAAGGCTGGAACCGGAGGATGAAGCGACCGCGCGGATTGTGTGGCATCCGGATGGAACTGCCTTCGCGTCTGCGGAAGCGACAAGGGATATTGCTATCTTCTCGGTGGGCGAGTGGAAGAAAGAGAAAGTGTTCTCTGGTGGGCATAACGGAGAGGTCACGGCGATTAGCTGGTCGCCTAATGGGGCACTACTGGCGACTGCCGGTAAGGATGGCCAGGTTTTGCTCTGGGAGACGAAGACGCAAAAGGTTCTGGAACGGTACGATTTTGCGAATGTGATCAATCTCGCCTGGCACCCCAGCAATAATTCGCTGTCGTTCACGACATCCGACGGAGAGTTGTTCATCTATGACGGTATTGTTCCGAGAGAGCACCAACCACTCCTCCAGAAGCCGCTTCAGGCTGCACCGATCTTTTCTGGACCTTTGACGGAGATCTCGAACAACGTGAGACCACCGCTGGCGAACCGGCCCAAGCAGTCAGTTGAACGGCGGGCGCGCACACCCGATTCATTGGATGATGTCCTCGACTATGATGTCGGCATGGAAGATTTTGTGGAGGATGATGATGGAGCTGGGTATGCTGAGGATCTCGCACGGGGCAAGCGTGCGGGCTCTCATCTCGATGATGCAGATGGCCGTCCGGACAAGCGGCTATTGACCTCGTTTGCAAAAACTAAGGTGCATCCTCCTCTTCAGCCGGGAAGTACGCCTTGGAGGGGTAACCGACGCTATCTGTGTATGTGTGCTCGAGCGGCTTGAGTGGTGCTGGTCCCAGGTGTGCTGACCCTACTAGGTTTGAACCTGACCGGCTGTGTCTGGACAGTCGATCAAGAAACCCACAACACAGTGACAGTGGAGTTTTATGACCGTGAACTTCATCGCGATTTCCATTTCACTGATCCCTATCTATACGACCGGGCGTGTCTCAGTATGTTTAATGGATCCCCTAGACCAGATCAACGGTGTGGCTAACGATATCTAGATGAGCACGGAACGCTATTCTCCAATAACCCCACAGACGGCAGCCCTGCTACGATCTTCTATCGTCCGCATGAGACGTGGACGACGCGTGCGGACTGGCGGACACAGCTGCCGAAGGGCGAGTTCATTCGAGGTAAGCATCAGCCGAGTAAACACCCAAGGAGACTGAGGGTGCTGATTTAATGGCAGCGCTGGCGCTCAGTGATTCCTACATTGTCGCTGTCACGACAAAGGACTATGTCCGCGTATATACGCTATTCGGCACACCATTCAAAGTATACCGACAAAAGAGCCCGGCGGTTACTTGCGCCGCCTGGAGAGATTATATCATGACGGTGGGCAATGGCCCGCTAGGAAGCGATGGTCGTACCGCCACGCTGCGGTACACTGTGGAGAATGTCAAGCGAGATGAAGTGTGCCAGAATGAGGATGTGGTCGCCATCCCTGAGGGTGCCGAGCTGCGGAGTGTCTTCTTTTCTGATGCAGGAGTGAGTAAACCCTAAGCAGGTTCACCAGGTTCGATGTGCTAATGACCGTCTGTAGGACCCGTGTATCTACGACTCTGAAGGCGTTCTGCTCATCCTGCAACACTGGCGCACAAACGGGCAAGCTCGCTGGGTACCGCTGCTGGATACGAGACAGCTCGAGCGTCTCGCGAGCGGCCGCAAGGAGGAGACTTACTGGCCCGTTGCCGTGGCTCAAGACAAGTTCCACTGCATCATCCTCAAGGGAGGGGATAAATACCCGTACTTCCCCAGGCCTTTGCTGAGTGAATTCGACTTCCGCGTCCCCATCACGGACACGCCTGGGAAAGGGCCGGATGAGGATGAGGAAGAAGGCAGCACACGCGGAGAGGGGCCACGACTCGAGGAGGCGTTCGTTCGCAGCAACATCATGCTGTCCCTGTTTGAGGACCTCTTGGGATCTACCAACGCCACTACCGGCCAGCGAGCAGAGTTGGCGCGGAAGGAGTTGGAAGTGGACAAGTTCTTGCTGCAGCTACTGGCGGTGGAATGTCGCGAGGGTGAAGAGCGAGGCATGAAGGCTCTGGAACTGGTGCAGATGATGCGCGACCGCAATGGCAAGATGGTGGAGGCAGCTGTTAAGGTTGCGCAGCGTTATGGACGAGGCGTGCTGGAGGACAAGATTCGCGAGCTGGCAGAGCGACGGTACATGGGGGCAGATGATGATGATGAATTGGCATGAGAAAGCAATTTAATTATATGCTACGGATGTAAATTAGATACCAAATGCACGGGGTTTTGCATTCTTGATCTTCGTTTTCTTCGTTCTTCGATCTATAATCTTGTGTTGCCTCAGGCTGCGACGGGGCGGGCCGACGTCATCTTCCGCTTACTTTCCATTGAACTTCATTTGCATTTCGATGCCATTTCCATTACTTTTCGACTTCCTTCCATCCTCACTCCATCTTCCCTCTGCACTTGCTGTCTCATGCATCTGTCAGCCTATGACTTGACTCAACCCCTCCGCTGCCATCCCGCAAGGCATGCATTGATCTGTTCCCAACACAAACTCCCTGGGTGAACCTCCGGGAATGCCGCCGAAGCTGGTCTCTGGCCCTGCGCCACGCGCTCTCCGACGTCGTCTACTACCTCCTTCAACATCCTCTCCGATAAAACCGCCTGTCTCCCGAGAACAATACTTCGTTTCTCCTTCCCCGCGGACTCTGGCCCAACCACGACCCGATATCATACATGGCCCGCAGTTGACCCGCGAGTCTCCGACACTTTTCTCGCAAACTGGTTTCCGACCATCTGTATCGGATCCTCTTGACGGGGGCTCGAAACGAGATCATGAACCTCCCGACGAGCGCATCCTGAAGCTTGGAAAGAGTGAGTGCTCCCCAACAGGAAATCCTACAGAACGGACCCGGTGCTGACCGAGCCAACCTCCCACAGCTCTCCGCATCCTCTCGCCTCTTCTCCCCACCCTTCTCATCAACCCGCTACCCCCGAATATTCTCTCCCCCAGCATAGCCCTGCACCTCTTCCCCTCGACGCACCCACATCTCCCCACCGTCAAGGGCCGAACACTCTACCGCGCCGCGCTCTGGACCGTCCCAGTAGCATGGAGCAGCCTCCCCCTACTAGGAAATGTGAAGCTTCAAATCCTCAGTGAGCGCATTGTCCGCGCAGGAACGGTCCTCGAACCCGAACGACCGGACAACGACCACGATACCAGCGACGAGCGTCTCGTCGTGCGTTGGCGAACCGAGCCGCGGAGCGAATCCACCACCTCCAACTCGGAACATTCCAGCACATCGTTCACCGCCGCATCTCCTACGCTACCAAGTGATACCCAAGGCACCAACAAGAGTAATGGCACTCACCTCTCATCTTCGAAAGCCGGGATCAACAAAGGCCTTAGCGTCCTGCTGGGCGGGGACGCTCCGATCTTCAAGTTGAAGAAGGAAGAGCAGTTCACGGGCCTATTCATTTTCTCCTTTGACGAGGAAGGTCGCATTGCGTCGCATACGATCGAGCACGCGGATGATGCGCGTGGATGGAATCGCACCCCGAAATTCGTGACTTTGACTGACTGGTTGATCGGTAAGGCGAGAGGATCGCTTGACCCTGCTGCAGAGCCGGGGCTAGCCATGCAGGGCTGTCATTGGCAGGATGCGCAGGAGTACCTCGATAGGGATCGGTACCATCGTGAACAACATTATTATCCTCATGGTCGGTGTTCGTAGGCCCTCAGGCCTCGTTTTACCCTTCCGATATTACTGATATGGTTATACGGCCATGTTGGTTTCCATTTGCTTATTCAATACTCCACTATTTGAGACTCTCTTCTATCCCCATTACCAAGGGGCACAAAATATAGAGGCAGTTTCGGCGCGGTATGATGCGAAAAGGAATTGCACGGTCTCAAAATCGTGTTCAAATATTCTGATTTTGTTTGTTCACGGTGGCTGGCTATCTGCTTTGCTTGTTTCAGCAGTTGGTGGCAATCTCTTCAGAGTTCTAGATGTTCATATTTATTCTCCTCTCTTCTCCACTCCTTGTCTTGTTATCTATATGTATTCTTTCGCTTACCACCACTCTCTGATGTGTATTATACCCAGCACTACTATTAAAGTCTGTGTTTTTTTTTTATGTAATGTAACGTGAATATATGTTTTGCTAGTACCACTACTCACCGATACAGCCACTCAGCCAGTAGATAGTAAATTCTATCTGATCTACTGTACATCATGTTGATAAGACCGCAAAGATGAATAACGTACACTCAACAGAAGACTTCAATCTATAAATCTATCTTTATCGTCACAGGATCTTTCAAACAATCCAACAGAAATCAACTGAGAGCTAACTACGCCTTGGCAGGAATATTCGGCGACTTCAAGCACGTGAACACAGCCACGCAAACGGTGACCATCGCGATTCCACCCGTGGTGTAGGCGATTTCGCGCCCAACCCACCAGAACAACGAACAGAAGAGCAACGGTCCCGCCGCGCGCCCGACCTGGCCCCAGCTACGGAGTCTACCCAAGACCGCACCGCGGTCTGACTCCTGTGCCTCGAAGCTACCCAGGCTGTTGAGGCCCGTGACGACCGTGGCGCTGGTGATAGCGAGGAGGCTGCCGGCGGCGTAAAGGCCGGAGAGGGAGGAAACGCGCGCGAGCATAAAGAAGGATACGGTGCAGGCAAGGACGCCGGCGCGGACTGTCACGAGTGGGGGCAGACGGCGCACGACAGTGCCTTGGAGGAGTGAGGCGATTAGACCCATCATTGAGAGGAGGCGGCCATTTAGAGCGGAGGGGCTGGCTTGGCTGCCGGCGTAGAAGGTGGCGGTTAGGAAGGGGAGGGAGAACTCAAGGCCGGAGAAGGGGAGGAGGAAGAGGAAGTGGATTGCGTTGAGGATGGCGGGGTTGTTGGTGTGTTGTTTGCGTTTGGGAGTGGGGGTGGATGTGGACGTGGGGGCCTTCGAGGCAGACGTGGTGGTTGAAGAGGTATGAGTGAGCTTGGTGAAACGAGGGTGAGTTTCCGGCAGACAGAAGTAGATGTATGCGGTTTCGACGACAATGAGCAGAAGGGAAACGCCGGCTGCGGTTGCGAAGGGATTTGCTGCCACAGTGGTGATGTTCGAGAGAAATGCTCCTAGGGCGGGTCCGCAGGTGAAGGCGATGCTGAAGCAGGCGCCCACCAGGGCCATGGTCGAGCCGCGCTGGCTGGGGTCGCTGATGTCGGTTGCAATGGCGTTGGCCAGCTGCACATTCCCTTCACTAAGACCACCGACGATGCGACTGGCCAGGAAGGTGCGGAAATCCGTAGCAGCGACCCAGAGAGCGACGCTGAGAGTGTTGCCAACCATGGAGTAGAGTAGGGCGGTCTTGCGGCCGCGCTGGTCGGAGAGACGGCCGATAAAGGGGGCGGCTAGGGCCTGTAGGAAGGAGAAGAGAGATCCGAGAGCGCCACCGAGGAGAACAATATCATAGCGCGAGTCGATGGGCTTTGCGAAGGAGTTCTTGTAGGCATTGAGATAGTGGAAGACGCGGTTCAGCAGCGAGTTCGGGGAGGGGTCTTGGTTGCGGTAGAAGGAGAGGAGAGATGGGAAGAGAGGAAGAATGAACGTAAAGGATATCTAGACCGACGGTTAGAGAGAACAACTCATGAGAACGAGAGTAACAGCAGCAAAACATACCAAATCCAAGAGCAACGAGGTCATCAAGACCTTGAGGATCTTCTTCCGCTGGTCTGCGGCGACCGCCATAGTGGTGAGAAACGGCGAGGTGCGGGGGACACTAAAAGGTCAAGACGAAAGAGAGAGAAAAGAGGACCGGAAGAAGAGAGTGAATAGAAGGGGTTTAATTAAACATGAGGAACAGAAATGGAACGAAGGATAGCAGCGTTCAGCAGCATAAGAAAGGCCGGTCGAAAGAAGAACAACAACACGATGGCATCTTCTCCTCCGAGGCACCTGCCAATTATGTCATAGCCCTGAGCCCTATCAGATGCGGGACTCGGCCTTGGCTGCCTTTTCGGGTCAATTCGAGTCGATCTATTCATTTCGCTTACATTCATACTTGCATCTACAATGGTCTTATACTGATTCGTCCAATCTGGCGAGGAAAAGTAAGTGTGCCGCTGGCTTCCATTGCCGCCGAGCTGCACTTTGACCCTATATTCCTAGCAACTTCGTCCCGGCCGTCAACGGCCAGACATTCTCCCCTGCTCCTGTCGCTGCGAACCGCCCTGGCCTGCAACCCTCCATGTCAACATAAGATGCAAATGAATAAAATACAGGAAAAGAATAGTAGATGGCCAATATGCCGAGATTTGCCGCCACCATCCGAATGCAATGGCCCCGTGGAAGCGGTCATCACAGCTCGAAAGACAAGGTAAAAGAAAAGATATGAAAGAGCAACATTATGCACGCTCAATAACTGCAAACATATACAACCGGAACCTTGGGGAAGAGAATCCAAAAGAAACGTCGAGCAATGCTACCAGATGACTGGTTCATCGGCAGCGTGTCGCCCTCATAGCTCCGTGTTGTAATCATTTCAAGAGTCATTGCTTTCGTCAACCATGACACCGCCATTACCCATGAGTTTATTAGTATGAGAGAGGATAGACAAAGGAAAGCACAACGCCCCGACGGCTGCAATAATAAAAGCGGGGAAGATGTAAAGATGTAGCATGGACAAGGCCCAGTGCCATTCAGAAGGCAAGGAGCCAGCATCAGGACCGCGTCGGCATTGAGATGTACTTCTCACAGAGGAGCACAACCCACAAGCCAGGCGACGGATCGATCCTGTTCCGAGCTGCACTGGCTTACTGGTTTCCAGCAGGAGCGGCACTGGGAGCGCCATTGCCATTGGCGTTGGCTCCGCCACGGCCCCGACCACCACGGCCGCGACCACGACCGTGGCCACGGAACTCGCCGCGTCCGCGTCCCCGGAAACCATCACCACGTCCACGGCCATGTCCGCCACGACCACGTCCGCGAACACTAGGCTGTCTCTGGTGGTGGTGTACCTGCTCGAAGCCGTCCTTCGGCACAGTAACATTCTCGGTGCCCTGCTCGGCAGCCGGGCTGGTCTTCACCTCAGCTTGCGCCGCTGCAGGTGTGGCCTCCAGGCCAGTATCGGTCTCGGCGGGGTCCCGGGGGACTTCTACCCAGCCTTCGGTGTTGGCCGAGGAGACACCAGAAGCATTGGCATCCCAGTTGGCCTCCGCGACTGCGTTACCACCCTCGCCAACGAGAGTCTGAGCAGGCGGCTGGACCTGCTCCGCCTCAGGCTCGGCGGCAGTAGCGGACTCGTTAGCAACGGTAGCAGTAGCGTCGGTGTTGTAAGAAGAATCCTGGAGCTCGGTGTAACCGGCGTTGGCAAGAGTAGGGTCCGACTGAGGAGCGGCCTCGGTGGTGGCGGTGGTGGTCTCGTCAGTTGGTCCAGCAAGCTCAGCAGCGGCCTGCTTTACTCTTCCGTCTGATCAACAAATTATCGTTAGCAACAGGCAAAACAAAATACATGGGATGACGGCAGTGCTCACAGGTGACATCGAGGAGAGTGCTGTCAACGCCAACCACCTTCTCGTCCACGCCCTCGATGATCTTAAGCATGGAAGAGACAGCATCCTGAGTACCGCCGTAGATCTGGTAAAGGACACCCTCAAAGGCACGGCTCTCATTCGAGGTCTCGTCTCCAGAGTTTCTAACCCGCGCAGCCGCACAGAGGAACTTGCTCAAGTTAAGCAGCTTCTGTCTGAGTTCAGTCTCTCTCACACCGCTAGCAGCTTCGGTGGCCTGCTTCTGAACAGCTTCAAGCTGCTCCTTGTGGGCCTGCTCCAGCTCAGCCTTCTGGCTGACCAACCGTTCCTCGTAATAGGCAGCGAAGCTCTTGAACTGGGCAATCTGTTCCTCGATCTGAGCAACAGCGGCCTGGAGGGAAGGCTTCTTCAGGGCCTGAGCCTTCTGATCGACGTTGATCTTCTTCTCCGCGACGAGCTCGTCCAATGACTTCCCAGGGTTTTCGGCGATGATGGCGTCAACCTTAGCGGTCGCATTCTGGATGGGGCAAATGTGAGCGGTGTACAGGGACCTAAAAATTGAGTCAGGTGAACGAACCAGCTTCTTCATAGCATTGCGCAGACTCCTATAGCACTGTGATTAGCATCCTATCTAACTTGGTCTCCTTTCCCCGGTCAAATGGTGGGAAGCGCCGAGGCTGATTTTCTCGGATGACTCACTTCTGAAGTTCTTTGAAGTGTTGATGCTCATGGTTATCGGAACCGTTGACCTCTGCCTTGGAAGCGATCGAAGGGCTAGAAGCATGGTTCGGCTTGTGCTTCTCTGAGGTCTCGGACTGTGCAGGAGGGTTGGTGTTGACAGCGGCGGCGGCCATTGTAGCTGAGTTGTGAGATGCTAGACGCTGGGAGGGAGTCTAGTTGTTTGGTAGAGAAGGGGGGTAGTAGGACAAAGAAAAAGGGTAAAGTAGAAATAAAGAGGAGAGGAGGAAAGGAAGAAGGGTATTTGCGCAGGTTGAGGGAAAGTAACTGGAGAAGAGTAGGAAGAGAGAAGAGAGAGAAGAGGAAAGGAAGCCAAGGCGGCAGAAGTGACAGAGCGAGAGACACAGCGAAAGACGACGAAGATGCGGGTGGAAGGCTTCCGAACCGCAGCGCCGCCTTTGCTTTGTCGCGTGCTGTTCGCCGCCAGCCCAACAACTTTTGCCCCCAAAACGACGCTCGGACGATCGCGCAGCTTATTGTGAACTCAATGCCCTACAAAAGAAACTGTGGTTGGAGGAGCGTCTCAGACGCATTACAGATTTGATATTCAACAGGGGGAATCCCTGCTGCTTTAGATCAACATGATCGTTGGGTATCATCACAAACAACTCCTAAGTAACGCCGCGCACACCTCCCATCATCGTCTGACCAAGTCCCATCGGTCATTGTCCCGTGGGGGAGGCATGGTGCGCAAAAGAAAATAAACCCCAGAGCAAAAGTTAACCGCCTACGGATATTCCTCCCCAAGTCCAACGCCATCTCGTTATAGTATAATCCCGTCACTACAAGGCCATTGCAACATCATACATGCTCTCCAGGAGCCCGGAGAAGAAGGCCGAACCGCACACGGTGCACAAGCTTATCCTTTAAACTTCCGAAGGGTTCTCTAAATCGCCGGAAATCCATAGTCAGCCTAGATGATAACAGGCTATCCTTGTGATCCAACAAAGCAAACATACCTCAGTCACCTTTCGAACACTGTTGGGGGAGATGTTCTTTTCGCCCGCTTTGCGCGATTGAATTGAGGATTCCCGCATCAGTCTGCAAAGACAAGCAGACGTCAGCAACTAGCTTCATATTACTCCGCCCAAGCAATCCCCAGGTGATTGTAACCCGTAAACAATGACGTCGACTCACTCTTGCATAAACAGCATGTAATCCAGGAAGATCTATACAGTAAAGACAAACACGTCAGTTTCTGAGTGAACATGATAGTAATTAACAAGGGTTTCAGGGTCGCAGCTTACCAGAATATCGGCATTCTTGCTCACGTTGCGGTTGGAGTGCGCCTTGACGACGCGTTTGACGGTCGCGCGGGGGTATAGCTTTTGTGTAGCTGCCATAATAGCTCCTGGCGCAAAGGATTGGCAGCACCGAGGTTATCAGTTGAGGCGGTGGTGCTGAGGGTAAGTGAAGTGGATCAGGACGGGCGGCGGAAGGGGAGAATAGATAATGGGAACAATAAACATGACTACTAAGATTCAGCACTAGAAGTTGATCTCGACTCGAGCTCTCAAGCTTAGCTGCTTTTTCCTTACCGCTTGCCCTGTTTGTGTAATTTACCCCAGTCCCTAACCAAACCGTACCATACGCAGTCCCAATCAACTTCTTATCTAATCGAGAACCGGGCAATAGATAAATATTCGCCGCAGATGGGATCTGCTTTGACACTTTGAAATATATAATGTGAAGGTGCGTCGTCATCAACATTGTTATTCACAGAGATTATATATAAGACTTGAACCATGGGCATATTTGATATCTACTTTAACCGACGAAGCAGCTTCCATGCATAGATGGCGGCTGTAGAGCCCAGTGCGATCCTCCAGGCCACAATGATGTAGATGCCAATCCGCACCCGTTCATAGTAGCCCCGGAGCATGATACCCACTGCATATGCACTGCCGCTAGGATCCGTATCAGACGACCCAAAATATCTACCTACTCCAAGCCCTCCGATGCCGACTTGGTTGTGTTCTGCATTCCCATTGGTCGCTGTGGTCTTCGTGACCGGCAGTGCAGCGGTCTGGCTATCCACCGCCGTGTTGCTGGGCCGGGCACCCGACCGGACCTGGCTTCGGTTGTGCTTGCGCAGACGATATGTCAGAACATTTATGATGAATCGCAAATCTAGTGCTGTGAAATTGGGATATTTCCATAACTGTACAGCGGTATGAGGTGGAAGCATATCTAGAAAATCAGCCATGATACCCAGTGTCAAGCCCCAGAGAAGGAGTGGCCGGTCTTGGTTGCTGAAGTGCGTTTGACTGCCCATGCACCACGATTTCCATCGCTGAAACAGAGATGTGGACGGTTGGTTGCCTTCTGGAAGATAGCCCGGGGTCGAGTTGCACTGTAGGCTTTCAGTTGGAGCCAGCCGGATGGCAGAAAACTGCATGTAGCCCATCATGGAGCGATATGCAAGGCGGGCCAGAAGCCCGCCCATATTCGCCAACCTCTGAGTCATGTCCACATGTTCCACCGTTCTTAGGGATGAAGAAAGCAAAGCTCTGAGGGGTACCCAATGTGTCGAAGCGACTTCCGTAGGCTGCAATCGGAGGGTGGGAGAGTCACTGGGCGTTAACAAAAAGACATATGGACATAAAACCATCAATCTAGAAAGGATATAGTCAGTGTCATGCTTTCTTGAAGCGACAATAAGGAGACGGCGGAAGACACGCACGGTACTGTTCCCCAACTTGAAGTTACTACTCTCTCTGGTAAATTTCCCACATGGATACAGTCACTCGTTGACAAGTCCAGTCCAATCTCTTCCAGAGCTTCTCGAACCGCGGCTGCTTTATCGTCGACATCTTCTGGATCCCGTTTCCCTCCTGGCAGGGCGACATGGCCAGTCCAGCGATCGCCTACGCGCGACGCTCGTTTGATAAAGAGAGCTTCCGGTTCTCCATTCTGAACCCAGTCCTGGGCGAAGAACGTCTGCAGCCGTTGCGGAACGGAGGCAGAGACATCTGGAAGTGAAACAGACGAGGCATCGGGCCAATGGTGGTATGTGGGACGGACACGGAGGATCAAGGCGACAGAGGCACGTTTCTTACACGACGGCGGATTGGGGACATGGGGATATGGACGGTTGTGTAAGTCTGCCAGGACGTCATGGAGGGACGGGGCCAACGAGGCGGACATTGTAATCGATGGTGGATCCATTTACCAGGAGCCTGTGGGGGAAAAGGGAATTTGTGTCAGGCACGGAATGCCTATAGCTGAGCCTATAAGGTGTCAGCGAAAGACAGGCAACAGAAAGGATGCGAATAACATCAGGATGGAGGCCGGAGATTAGTGATGGGGCCGAGGCTTAGTATGGTAATGGTATTACTGATACCACAATATCAAGATGATACTAGCTTTCAACTGGCTGGGGATAGCTTGAACTCAATTAACCAATCAGAGTGTCATAAGGAAGACATGACGGGAGCACGTGCGAGGATACGGCGATGGCAGTCCTTCTGGCTTGAAGCTGCTAAAGTAGTCGCTATCTAGTCCTCTTTGCTAGTCATGATGCTGTTGCTGCTTGATCCCCTCGCCACTTTCTTCTTTTCTTTTTCTCTTTCTCCTCTTCCTTCCTGAAAAATTTCTTCTCGACCCCGATAACAAAAATACGGTGCATATAGCTAATTGCTTATCCCCCCTTGCATCGATCGCCCTCCGTGGTTCCCGGAATTGTCTCCGCTAGGACGGCATTCCTTACATCTCTAGTCTCTCCCGGAGTCCATCTCTCTCTCTTCCCCGCCTCGGATCTTCTCAACTGTCGCGTGCGTACTTGCCCATCACAGTCATGCGTTTCGGGAAGACTCTACGCAACTCTATCTATGCCCCCTGGGCGGGCAAATACATCGACTACAATAAGCTAAAGGTCTTGCTCCGAGAGCATGATGTCACTGGTGATGGCAGTGACTCCGAAAGCAACCCATGGACCGAGCAGGATGAAGAAGCCTTCGTCCAAGAGCTCATCAACGTCCAGCTCGATAAGGTCAATGCTTTCCAGATGGAGACCCTCCAGCAGTTGCGAGAGCGTACCACTACCTGCGAAGCCCGCTTGCGCCCGTTGACGACCTCACCCGAGGATGATGCACCTACCGTGGTGGATGGAGAGGAGAAGAAGCGTGTTGCTTCCGATGTCCTGCAGGAACTGGACAATATCACAAAGGAGGTGACAGAGCTCGAGAAGTACAGCCGTATCAACTTTACCGGCTTCCTCAAAGCTGCAAAGAAGCATGATCGCAAGCGTGGTACTCGCTACCGTGTCAAGCCTCTGCTGCAAGTGCGTCTTTCGCAACTTCCCTTCAACTCGGAGGATTACTCCCCTTTGGTCCGTCGGTTGTCCGTGATGTATTCCTTCGCCCGCGAGATCCTCAGCCAAGGTATAATCGAAGCCAAGGACCCCGTCGAGCCTCGTGTCGGTCAGGATGTCTACTCCTCGTTCAAGTTTTGGGTTCATGCAGACAACATCCTGGAGGTGAAGACCTACATCCTCCGACAACTGCCTGTCCTCATCTACAACCCTGGCACTTCCAAGGATCTCAACACCATCCCCGATGACCCCACGATTACCTCCCTCTACTTCGACAACCCGCAATTCGACCTTTACACTCAGAAGGTGGCTCGTGCCCCTGAAGCGGGCTCGCTGCGGCTGCGCTGGACCGGCAACTTACGGGATAAGCCCGCCATCTTCCTGGAGAAGAAGGTGGTCACCGATGATGACCGCAGCCGAGAGGTCAAGGTGCAGCTCAAGCAGAAGCATGTCAAGGAGTTCCTGGACGGAGAGTACCGTTGCGATAAGAAGGTGCATCGCATGGAGAACATGGGCAACGGAGACTCCGAACAAGCGGAAGCTTTCAAGAAGGATGTCGATGAGCTCCAATCCTTCATCAAGGAGCACAACCTGCAGCCCATGCTCCGCGCCAACTACACCCGCACTGCCTTTCAGATCCCTGGAGATGACCGAATCCGTATTTCTCTTGATACGAACCTGGCACTCATCCGGGAAGATGCGCTGGACGAGCTGCGCCCGTGCCGTGACGCACATGAATGGCACCGGAGGGACATTGACGATGCTGGCATGGAATATCCCTTCCAGTCCATTAGAACCGGCGAAATCGCTCGTTTCCCCCATGGCCTGCTGGAGATCAAAATCAGAGGGGATGTGGCACGTAGCGCGGAATGGGTCAAGGACTTGATGGTGTCCCATCTCGTGAAGGAAGCCCCGCGGTTCTCCAAATTCGTACATGGCGTGGCCCAGTTGTTCGAAGACTATGTCAACAGCTTCCCCTTCTGGCTCGGTGAGTTGGAAAGTGATATCAGGCGGGACCCTGAGACGGCTTTCCACGAAGAACAGGAGCGTCTGGCGAAGCGTGCCGAAGACGATATGGCTGTCGGGAGCTTCTTGGGAGGCAAGACACCGTCAACTCGACACATTGTCGGGTCCCCCGTCCAGATGTTCACCGAGACAGGGCCTTCACGTCGCCGCCAATCCTCCCAAATTGTACAGCCGATCCCTCGTCCGTCTGCCCCGACAATGTCACAACCGACCCCTGAGCGTCAGGAGCCTGCCGAACAGTCCGCCGCAGAGGCGGAACAGCCAGTCACCATGAAGCGCCTGGCTTCTCTCTTCCCCTCCTTCACCATTTCCCGTCAAAACCGCGCACCTGCAGACAATGTAGTCTTGCCCCCCGGTGTCCGTGAGCCGGGCACATGGATCAAGGACTCGGGCCCAGTCCGTGTCGAGACCAAGGTCTGGCTCGCCAACCAGCGTACCTTTATCAAGTGGCTCCACATTAGCATCCTGCTTTCTTCGCTATCTTTGGGCTTGTACAACGCAGCTGGCAAGCACAATGACATTGCTCGCGCCCTATCCATTGTCTACACCTGCTTCGCCATCTTCGCTGCCGCCTGGGGATGGTACATGCACGAGAAGCGCGCCCGCCTGATCCGCCAACGGAGCGGAAAGGACCTGGATAACATGTTTGGTCCGATCGTGGTCTGCGTGGGTCTGGCCGTTGCCTTGGTATTAAACTTTGCGTTTAAGGTAGGCTCTTATCCCGCCTGCATCCCTACTAAAGGGCTCAAACTAACCTCTAATCCAGTACAACTCTACCATGGAGAAGCTCCGAAACCGTGAACCTGCGGTCATGGAGCCCCTTCCCGGGCTCAACTCGACTGCGTTCCTGAACAAGGCCAACATGTGGCAACTCGTTAACCAAGGTGGTCAGACTCTGTGAGATGGTCCCCTTTCTTTCAATACTTAAGGCGATATGTGGCCCCAGAATGTACTCAGTCACAGCCACAACCACAACTTCTGTAAAGTCCAAATATATTTTATGAGACGGTCGACACACCCACCCCCCTTTACTTGAAGTATATATAGGGGTGGTGTATTGTCAATGTACGTATCTTTAGCATGTTATTATGTGATTAGATGGGGTTTTTGTCATGTCGACACGAGCGAGTATCATTAAAATGAAAAGTGATTGTTATGATTATATGGTATGTCTTGGTCGGTATTTTACTTTCCATGCAATAGTCTTAGTATAGCCCCAATCTCATCACAAACCGTTGAGTTCTCTTCGTACAAATCTTATATACAGCTGAACATGAAAGTTATATACACACATACACACACACTATCCAAACGCCACGCCTTACATGAGCATCACATCATAGTATATCGTATCTAATCATAACTGTCATAAACATTATTACGTATACCTCGTCCCAGGCCCTCCCTCAGATTGATACTGAGACTGAGGAAGCAACGGCGCCCGCTCAGGATCCACATCCCAAGTATCATCAGCAGGGTTATACGAAGACTCAGCTTCGGCTACTCCTACCCCTGGTACTGCGGGACGGCCGAGGAATTTGCCGTGGGGTGTCGCGTTATATAATATGCTGGGGACGTAGCCTTCGAAGGAGGTTCTGCTGGCGGTCAGTAATGATGATGATAATATGATGTTTATGGGGGGAGTCCTACCGATCAAAGAACCCACAGAAGAGCCACAGATAGATCGTTCCCAGGAACGCAATGATCCACTCGAGAATACCAGCTGTTCTGTAGTCATTCGCGTCCTCGGGAATGGTCAGGGAGATAAAGGCCACGCCGAGAAAGAGTTGTATTAGGATGAGGATGGTGGAGAGGGATGCGCTATATATTCCCGGCATGTTAGAAACGATGTGTGTGTATCTGGCGATGTAGTACAGAAGAATAGAAGGGATATTGTGCACATACAATATCCTAACTCGATTACTCCTCTTCCTCCCCCAATCGTTACCCCATACCCCCCAATGGTACAGATACGACACGAAACTCAGGACCTCCGTTGAGTAAACAATCGCGGTGCCGGCCGACTGTATAGCAAGACATCCGAAGCAGATGCGAAGGAAGATGTGATGGGCAAATTTATAGCGGAATGTATCCATCACTCCGAGAAGGATGAGCGCTGTGCTGGCTGTTCCGGCTGCGAGGATTGATAGCAGGGAGATGACTTTGAGAGTGCGGGTTGTCTCTTGGTCTTCTTCTTCTTCTTCCTCACTATGTCCGCCTCCGGTTATGTGGTTATAGGCGTTTCGGTGGTTGTGGTCGCTAGATTGGGTGTAGGTATTATTGTTCCCCTGGTTGTTCGAAGTCTCTTCAGAGATAACTGGACACTTCACCAAGGCGAAACCGGGCTCGTAGCGCATGACGTGCACAGCAGCTACCGTGAAAACGAACCCTACGGCAGTCATAGAAGCACCTATAAGGAAGAGGGGTTTAAGTTCGAAGGAGGCAATGTCGGAGATGAAGCTATCCTCCAAATTAATATCCATTTACGTATGTAATGTATAGTTGAGATAGAGGAAACACCCACGCGACATCAGGATTACTTTGGCCCGGATAGACGGGCATTCCACGCGCCAGCCATGTCAGAAGCAGGGACGCCAGAGTCAGGAACCAGACCGAACCAGCCAAGGTAGGGAAGATATATAGTCGGGATGGAGGGATGTTGAGGATAGTGGCATGGAGAAAGGCCCAGATGGAATCATGACAGCGGAGAAGGAACGAAATGATCATGGAGAGGAGGCAGCAAGGCAAGACTGGCTCTGGTTCCTGAGATCTGGGAGAGTAGGGTGAGATGCAAAGAGTACTAGTAGTCAACAGGTAACAAATAATAACTAGTTAACTATTCGATGCCAGCCATGTGGTGAGCGGGGGTGCCAGAAACAGTTGCCTTTATTGAACTGTTGGTCTGCCGCGTTCCACCGCCTGTACTATGACGACACTGCTTTTAGTGGTCGAGGATCGCGCCCGTGTTGTTCTTGCTGCTTTTATAACTATAAAACTAGCCTTAGTACTAAGTAAGTCACCTGCCGCCTCATGCCTCTCGCCTATTTGCCCGATGGCCGCTATTAACCGCCGTATCCCGCCCCATTTAGTATAATAACCCGTCTATCTTTTGTCAGAAAGGCGACGGACTTTCAAGGCAATATTACGGTAATTCATGCTTCTGAGGTAAGTCTAATAGAGAACCACTAACTCTATAGACTGTATATACTATGTATAGCGTGTCAGTCACTACTGAAACTGTTCCGATCTAAGGCCTTCAGTATATAGTTTGAGCAGCAGTGCCTCTCTACCATCAACCACATATATATTGCTTAGTACTTACTATACTCGCCAGTAGTAGGATGTTCTGCATTTCTGGATGCTCACTAGCATCGGTCCCATGCTTACTATTAGATTCATCATGTGCTCCTGCTGGGCTTCCGACACATTATGCCACACTTTAAGCCAGAATGTTGTTTTAGACTGGTTAGAAGGATGCCAGCACATTCATCGGAGATAGGAAGCCTGCAGACTTGATTCATAAGAGCACACCTTTGTCCTTTCGTTTACTTTTTCAAGCATCTCGCATACAAATATATAAGACAATCAAGTCTAAATCTACCACATATGCCTTACATGCACTGGATCTGGTCCATAAGGCCATAAGAAACCTGTAATGTCTGCAGCTGCATGAGGAGGACGTAACTAATCCCAGGTTAGGCTACGTAGAATGCCTGCGTAGCTGCAATCGAGGACTTCGACCCAGTTACCCTTGGGTGTGTATGTCAACACCACAGCCAACGTTAATCCTCTCGCTCATTCCGCAACTCCAATTCGGCGGCCTCAGCAGCAGGGCTCCCCTGTTGCCTTGACCGGTCGGCCCCCAGCACGGCGCCCTCATTCTCAGTCCGAAGCTTATGCGCTCGCACGAACAAATTAAGGACGGTAGCCAGTCCAGCAAATGCCACATACTAATAGCACATAGGGCATAACATTAGCATAGATGCACTGAAGGTTTTGAAGAGAGCAATGCGACGTGTTGATATATCGCAATGACCTACCATGACCCACACCATTCTCAACGCCTCAAAGTACGTCTTCCTAACCAAGGCCTCTTGAACTGCATCTAGTCCGAGAGTGCTAATCTCCTCCACACTGGAAGCGGCATTGTCGCCGTTGAATTCGCTGGCCAAAGTAGAGTTGGAACCCAGCTGGCTTGCTAACCCCTCGTTTTTCGCATTCATCTCATTCTGAAACACCACACCCCCGACAACAACCGAAATGGCCGTAGAGAGAGACCGGACAAACCCCATCGTCGCAGTGACAGCTGCTGTATCCCGGATACTGGTTGCCGCCTGAGCAGCAAGGATCGGCGCTTCGATGTTCATGCCTACACCGATACCGACTAGGATCTGGAAGATGACTAGTTTGGTGATATTAGCTTCAAAATCAAGACTAATTAGTAGGCCGGAGCCGAGGACCAAAAAGCCCTGGGCAATATACATCACCGGGAGATATTTCCCGGTTTGCTGCATGAAGATCCCTGCTGCGGCCGCGGCCAGGGAACATGAGACAATTAGTGGTAGAAGGTAGAGGCCTGATCTTAGCGCGCTTGCGGCTAGGACGGACTGCGCATATAAGGGCAGGTAATATGCTTGTCCAATAAACACGTATGAATTACACGCGAAGACAACGTAAGGCGCTATCTTGGTCGGTGAGGTGAACAGCCAAACTGGAATAATTGGGTTCTTGGCAATCTTCCATTCATTGACCACGAACAGCGCCATCACTGCCGTTCCGAAAACCAATAGACAAATGACGGTTGCAGAAGACCAGGAGTAGACGACGTCGCCAAAGTCAAGAGCAAGGAGGAGCATTAAAGAGCCGCCTATGATCAAAAGACTGCCTGTCCAGTCAATGACTTTCAGGCCGGCGGCAATGGGTGTTCGAGGGCTCGGAACCCTCATAAAGAAGAGCAAGACCAGGAAGGAGACGGCACCGACTGGTACTATACAGTCGAGAATGTAAGCTAAGGGCTATCAGGTTAGATGAAAATGTCTTACAGTTAATCCAAAAACACCATCTCCAGGTGAGCCTCGATGTAAAAACGCCACCCAGAACAGGCCCTATGGCACTGCCAACTGCCCACACGAGCGAAGTGATTGCGAGGTACAACCCGCGATCTCGTAGTGAAAACATATCGCTGACAACAATATTGACCATAATCCCCATGCCGGAGCCGCCTAATCCCTGAATCGCCCGTCCCGCGATCAGAGCATCCATATGCGGCGCAAGGGCACAGACAAGACTGCCGATAAGAAAAACGGCGACTGCAATGAGCATAATGGGTTTTCGGCCCCAGATGTCGGAGACCGAGCCCCATACTGGCGTAATGGCTGCGTAGGCCAGGGTGTAAGCACTTCCCACCCAAATATAGCTGGCCGAAGATTTGAATGTGCCAACTATAGCAGGAATTGCAGGAGTAACAATTGTTAAGTCAAGAGCGGAGAGGAGCACAGACAAACAAAGCGACATCATAGTCCACGCAATTGTGCTGGTGGTGAGACGCGCCCCAGGCTCTCTGGATGGGGAGGGTGCGGGCGCGGGAGTGGCATTGTCAAGAGTGCTGCCAGTCGCATCAGTGCGGGAATTAGACGTTGAGGAAACTCTAGCAAGTCCTCGAGCCTTGGACATTGTCAGGGAGAAGGTGAGAGGAGATATTCCCACCAGATGGGGGGATCAAGGGAGGAGGGGAAAGCAGATGGAGGAGCGGACGTCTTATAAAGAAGGATTACACCCCCGGTCCTGTCACCTGACCTGACTGTGTTTACAATGAGAGCAGTACTGATATCATGTATATTTTAATCCCAATTAGGATGATCTCCATTATATTAGGGAGAGGGCTCGTTGAAACATTCCCTCTAGCCGCGCATATGATCCAGCACTTGGGTGGAATACTACAAGACGCTCATGATGCGCCATCCTGGTCGCTCAACGAAGAGTTGACGGCCGACGGTGCCCAGGTCCAACGTCTGGAACTATCACAGCCGCTTGTCACGGCACTTCAACTGGCACTGCTAGCTGTAGTTGTCGGTCTTGGACCCGACCAGGTCTTACCATACTTGGTGGGCTCTACTATTGAGATTGCCTGCATTAACAGCCCGCAGAACGTCACCCTCTCAGGCATCAAACCGGAACTTGTTCCCATTGAAGAACGTGTCAAAAATGATGGGTACTTTGCACGACTACTTCGTGTGGATGTAGCATATCATTCCCACTATATATGAAGTCCGTCGCTGGGCGATATGAGGATCTGTTGAGGCAACATGTCGAGTGGCCGAAGCATAGTGAGAACAAGATGCAATCACTAATGGTGTCGTCGACTACCGGCAAGGCGCTCGAAACTCCACCCAGGCCTGCCTACTAGGTCGCCAACATAGTTTCGCCTGTGCTGTTTAGCCAGGATGAGCTGATAATGGGACCAGAGGCTGTGGATTGCCATCTCGAGATTGGGCCAAGTGATGCACTATCCGGACCGATAAACCAGACCAAAAACGCCGCCTCCTCATCAGTTAAGGATGTCTCGGCCTGAAAGCGCGACCCTAACGCGATCTCGACCTTACTACATGCAGCGGGGATGCTATTCACCATGGACTACTCCATATCCATGACAGCATTCAACGATGATGGAGGTGAAGCTCGCCCATTGTGTCAGACCTACCCAACTACCAGTGGAATCACTCCGTGAAATACTGGCAGGAAAGCGAATACGGTCAAGACTGGCGCTTCTGCAAGTTCCCCTATCATGACCTCCTTGGTAGCAAAATTCTCGGCAGCCTATGGACTAATTCAACATGGAAGGATGTGTTGCGGCTAAGCGACATCACTTGGCTGCGCGACCATCTTCTCGGAGACAGCGTCATCTTCCCCGCGGCGGGCTACATTGCTATGGCCATCGAAGCCATCTACCAGAAGACGTATGCAACTGGGCAGATCCCCGAGAGGATATCCATCTCTGAACTCCCTTTCAAACTGCGCAACGTGACATTCCCCCGGATGCTCACACTGGACACAAAAAGCGGTACCAAGATCCTATTGTCGTTGCCACTGTGCTCTAGCACTAAGGAGTCATGGCACGAGTTCACGGTCAGCACAATCACAAAGGATGGCTCAATTGAAGAACACTGCCGAGGCCTTGTGGGCGTTGCTAACCAAAGTCTTCCTCGACCACTTGCCAATGCGTCAGATATTGCACCTTTGCAACACCCGGTCTCAAGACGCCGTATGGTACAAGGCCATGCGTCGGGTTGGCTACCACTTCGGCCTTGCCTTCCAGCCCTGCCAGCAAGTCGAGGCCAAGGCGGACTCGGCGTCGGTGCCGGGCGTGATTTAAAATTGTTTAACCAACTCTGTTTGACTCTCTATCGAAGGAAATCCACCCATTCGACCCCTACAGGAGAATACTATTTCAGTCTGTCAACCATCTTCTGTGGATTTTCGTCGGTCAATCAAACCAGTAAGATGATGTCATGCGGGGAGAAGAGAAGGGGGAAGGATCAGCCCGCAGCATCACTAGTACTTAGTACTCAACTGCACTTTCCAACTGGTCAGATGAAGACCAGCCCCGATACTAGTATATTTGCTAATAGATGGATCAGAACTCGGCTCTACAAGCAGATCACCAATGACTGTTTCCATCGCAGTCCATGTGGTTGAATCTCCCCCACAATTTGCTAATCTGCTGACAAATCCATTGCGAATATCCCTATTAACCAGCTAACTATACAGCTACATCTTCCTTCACGATTCATCTTCCTCTACCTAATCCAATACAAGATCAAACTAGAGAGGAAAAATTTACAAAATGACCAACTTCAACATCCAAATCATCTCCGACACCGTCTGCCCGGTACCTTACCTTACCCCCCTCATAACCCGGCCCATCCCACTATACCAACATCTACTAACAGAATCAAACAGTGGTGCTACGTCGGCTACCGCCGCCTCACACGCGCCATCACAACCCACAAAGCCACCCACCCGGCAGACACATTCACCCTAACCTGGCACGCCTTCTACCTGAACCCGAACTCTCCGAAATTCCCCGGTCTGGACAAGACCGAATACTACAAGTCGAAGTTCGGCGCTGACCGCGCACTTGCCATCTTCGATCGACTGGGTGCCGTGGGCCAGAGCGAAGGAATCAAGTTCAGTTTTGGTGGGAGGACGGGGAATACGCGGGACTCGCATCGGTTGATGTGGTATGCGGGGCAGAAGGAGAAGGAGAAGGAGAAGCATGTAGAAGAGAAGAAAGAGGAGAATGTGATTGGGGGGTTGCAGACGAGGGTGGCGGAGGAGTTGTTCCGGGCGTATTTTGAAGAGGAGAAGAATGTGACGGATCGAGAGGTGTTGGTGCAGGCGGGGGTTGGGGCAGGATTGGAGAGAAGTGAGGTTGAGAGGTTGTTGGATGGGGAGGAGGGAGGGAAGGAGGTTGATTTGGAGGCGGAGAAGGCGAGAAGGCAGTTGGTGACGGGCGTGCCGTACTATATGGTTCAGGGACAGTATGCTGTAGAGGGGGCGGATGAGCCCGAGACCTTTTTGGAGGTGTTTGAGCAGGTGAAGAAGAGTACTTGAAAAAACTGGGGTTACGATGTTTAAATGGGTATATAAAGCAAATCTACAGGTACTGTTGATCCCATGCAAATTACATTGCTCTATGGAGGCAGCAAATATGTAACACAAGCAGAGAGAAGTGTAACGTAGTGGAGTCTAGTCTGATAAGACATGCCCATTCTTTTGCCCATTAATAAGTCCTCCGATAATTCACAACCATAAGTCTTTGCAGTGGGGAGGAGAATTTGCAACCCCAGAGAGAATCCCCAAACGCCCGAGTTGACAAATGCGAGCAAAAGTAATATCCCCGGATGAATTCAGAAAGAGGAGACAAAGGCATCCCTTCCGGCGCCGGAGTAAGCAAATGCGCGCTAAAGCCAAGACCCAGTGAATACGCAACTGGACGTCTTCCCGGGATAATACACGTATGCGAAAGGGAATAGGGGGAAGCAACAGCTGGCAACCAGTCCAGCGTAAGGCTCCATAACACCGAGTAATAGCAGAAGAGAAAAAGCAAAGTTGGAGAAAGAAACGTCGTCAAGAGTCATTGCTCGTAGAAGGCATCTGTAAAGGTGAGCAGAGATGTCACTGATGTCGCTAGACCACAGCCATGGTGTCATGGCACGGTGCCAGTAGAACTAGCGGAGTCTAGTACTGGGAAGTCTGCTGCAACTTAAAGTCGGGAATGTAGTCAAACCAGTCCGTATCGGTATTGTAACGGTACGCCTTGAATTCAACACCGTACGGCTTAGGCTCCAACATGTAAAGCATCCCCAGAGGCACATCCAAAGAAGCAACCTCATCGCGCTTCAGGCCACGGAAGTACGCCAGCAGGACGCGGGCGACCGACCGGTGAGTGACCAGCAGCACATGGTCGGTCGTCCGCTCCACCTCAATGATTACGGCGCGAAGCCGGTTGATCACATCCAGATACCCTTCGCCTCCAGGGCCCGGGTAGCGGTAGTAGAGCTTGTCCTTCCGACGCGCTGCGTACTCCTGAGGGAACTTTTCGCGGATTTCATCGTAAGTCATCCCTTCCATCTGGCCAGCATAGAGCTCATCAAGCATCTTCATTTGCTTGACATCATACTCATCTTCATTGAAGTAGTCGACGGTTTGCACGGAACGTTGCATCATCGACGACCAAACACAGAAGTTGCGAGGCCGGTCGCGGGGGATGTACGATGGGTTGGGAGGAGTGCTATCGCCAGCACGAGGGGGCAAACGCTGCAGCATTTCCTTCTGTCTCTGAACCAACTCCCACTGCTGCTTCTGATGGTCGATGAAACGGTTCAGCGCCTTTGCATAGCGATGGCCATTCTCACTCAATTCGGAGTCACCACCAATGCGGCCCAGCTGGTTGTCCTTGCTTTCACCGTGTCTGGTAATCCAGATTTGACGCGGGGAGAGGTTAAAGTTGAGCAAATAATAGACGACCTGCGACGAAAGGAAGCCATGCGTCTGATGCGAGACGATCTTGCGTCCAACATCAATCATCTGGATGTACGCCATGCTGTGCTTCTCTTCGTACTCGCCGAGAGGAACATAGGACTTCTCATAGAGCGCCACGCGTCGTTTGAAGTCTTCGAGGGCCTTGACAGGGTCCTGATCCTTGTAATCGGGGCCCGACAGCTTCAGACGCATGTTGGCTTCCAGCAATTCCGCGTCCACGCAGCTGCTTTCAAGGAACAGGATGTTGAGCTCGGGACCAGCGCGGTTGCGGATATGATCGACGATGGCTTTGCGGCGCTCCATGGTGCTGTTGGTGGCGTCCAGAATGCCGACACTGCCGCCCTCATCGAGGATGTAATCCAGAAGTTCATCCAATGTGTCCAAAGCCACCTGCTCTCGCAGCTTCACGGCCAGCTGATTCTTAGGGTCGAAGAAATTGGCTGACTGGTCGATGGGCTCGGGAGATGCCTCGCGTATGGCATCCTGTTCGGCCGGGGACGCATTCATCGGTGGGACGATAGTGCTCTCGGAAGGATCCTCTTCCTTTCCGTTGACCAGAATCTTGGTAGGGACCGCAGGAGGCGGGAGGCTGCCATCGAATGGCGGGACGTTGCCTTCAACTTCAGGGGGCGAGGTCACAGCGACCTCGGAGGCATTCGCAGCTGCTTCGGCCCTAAGGTCACTCTTCTTCGACGGCTGATTCATGGTGCCAACGCTGACACTGAGCCGACGCACGGAATCAACGAGCTCGCTATGAATGGTACTGGCTCTGTGACTCGGACGCCGTCCATCGGTAGCTGGAGACTTTCCGGCGGCCACACGACGACGTTCTCCTACGTTGAAGATCTCGGTATCGTGCTGCAGCCAGTTAAGGTAACGGGCCAGCTTCTTGGTGACATAACTCTTGCCCCGAGCAGGGAGGCCGACCATGACAATAACCAATTTTGAGCCCACATCACGTTGAGCAATACGTCCATCGGGAGAGACCTTCGACTTGGTGAGACCTGGAATATCGAGGGTAGTGGCACGAATTCGACCCGGGGTCGACGGAGTAGTATTGGCAGTACTAAAGTGGATAGCTGGTTAGCTTGCAACGCCACAAACTCTGTTCCTGACAGTGTCCAGAAACAGCTGCGACAAACAAGGAGACGACTCCCGGGAAGATAGACACATGGCCCAATCCCAGAACCAAGATAAGAGGATGAACTCGGAGAAAAGGAAGTATGAAGCAAACGCGCGGGGAAGACCGGGTCATCAGCCGGGCCAATATAACCCGAATTGACAGCCGTCGATCATTCCGGGGGAATACATAATAAACTAAAATCTTAAAAAAAGGAAAACAGGCTTTCACGATCTAGAATTCGAGAGCAAAACGCCCCGAAACAGATCTAGACAGCAGACGAAAAAGAAACGGACCAACAGGAGCAAGGAAAAGGCGGGAGAACATACAAAGGTGGAGACGAGGGTGCGGTAGAAATCGGAGTGTCTGTTAGGGCAAACCCGACACCATCCTTGGGCACCTGCGATCCCCTGTGGGAATCGGAATGCAGTTCGTTGCCTAGCGCTCGTCCGACCAGTGATTTGGGGGGAGGCATAAGATTAGCGTCCTTCCCAGTTCCCGAGTGAGAAACGGATCCATTTGGTTTTCCTGGAGCACCGGCACGTTGGTGATCGGGGGCCGACGCGCACGTCATGATGGCGGATCGTGCAATATCGGTGTGTTGAGACATCCCCGCGAGTGGCGCAGGGATGCAGCCGAGATGCAAAGATGAATCGATAAATGAACAACAAAATAAAGAGAGAGAGAGAGAGAGCCAATGAGAGGATGACAACAGTGAGAATCACCTCCGATCTAATGCTGGCAGCGACCTCAAAACCGGGTCAACCACAGACTTTTACTCACGGAGGCGATGATGATGATCGAGGGGTAGTAACTGTTAGTTATTTGGAGAAGGATGGAGAAAAAAGAGTGAGGGGGAAGATGTTGTGTTGGTCGTCGCGCTTTGAGGCGGGCGGGATGAGTCAAATCCGCGCTCCCAACCAAAACGTCACTTCAAATTCACTTGTTCAGCACACAACTCGTCACTCTGCTCGCTCTTTCCGTGAATGCAAGCAAGTCCACTTCTTTCTGAAGAGAGAGAGAGAGACCCTACGGTCGCGCTCGTGAATTTTTATACCACCACGCGGTCGCAACTGCACCACCGCGTCTTCTTGAGTTAGATAGACGCTGGCAGAATCCCGCAGAACGGGGGCTAAAGTTCACAGCACGCAACGCTCTTCCAGGGCGGCGGAACCATGCAATGCAAAGCTCCTTATTCCGGCTCTTCCGAAGGCAAAACTGCAGGGCGCAGTTGAAACTAAAAGGTGAAGTTATAGGCCAGGGTTTTGTGCACGAGGTGGGAAAGGCTAATTCGGTTGGATGATTCTTATCATCAGGGTTGACGGAGGGTCTTGGAGGTCAAAGAGATTCCAACTGCGACCGGGCATATAAGAGGGTCACGTCCGTTGCTGATGAAGTCACTCCCGCCCACTCGTTCATGACAAACGGTGGAGCTTTTCCGCGGATTGATCAACATCCATGGCCACCCCATGATGTCAAATTATATCCACTCTATCTTGCTACTTCTTACAATATGTGGACTTATGTACCAAAGTACATATTTAGAAAGTAACACTACTTGGTACACCCGGTTTTAACTATGGATCAAGTCTACTGCAGCTGTAGAATGTCCAACCAGGTCCGCTAGTCATTCTGCACTGTCGATCTTAAGGCTAAAAGCAAATAAAACAACCATTAAAGTGAATCCTTTAAATTCCACACTAAGTTTGCAGATAAGTAGACTAGTACCGATAGTCACCGAGAAAATCTAGAATGCTTGGCCCAGGTAAGGGTGTCAGATGTCTTACTTAGTGCAAGCCAGCAAGGCGAGTCAACAATCCTTCCAAGTTTCATCTACATTGTCCTGCACTGTACAGATCCGATCACCTCCGTTGCAGCTTACCCTGTCTTGCTAGTTTCGGCCTCGTATTTTCTCCGTATGCATCCAGTTGTCATGTTCAATCAAATTCAGAACTTACAACCTAATCATTTCAGTCCGGATGCGAGCAAAAGTAGTGGACAGAGATAATTACCGACTCAGCATATTAATTCCCAGAATGTAGTTCTATCGTGGTCCAACTCCAAGCCGGATGTCTGCAGGACATGCAGTTCCCTGTCCCGATTCAGCTAAACGAAGCGACAGCCATCAGCATCCGCTAGGCATCCAAACAAAGAGCTGTTGCTCTTCCCTTTCTACACTGGAACCGGATGTTTTCACAATAAGTTGAGTTACAGTAGTGCTACGTTTCAAGAACCCTTCGCTTCAAGTCTGGCTAGTACTAAGCACCCTTTGTTCTGAATAAATAGGGTCATAACATGACGAATATTCTCTTCTATTGCTGGCCGAAAAGTAGTATATACATTGGCTATACCTTCAACCATTAATCTTGTATATATATTTGATACCACATTGACTTGTGAGCTGCTATATTTAAAATTCCATATGTCATATCCAAACTTCCATATTTCAGTGATGATTTGCCAACCGAGTGTCTGAAGCAAACCTCTCTATTGCTCAGAATATCTCTTATCTTATGCAATGGAACCCATGGAACTTTAATTCCCCCAACTGCAAGAAGAGAGCCGGCCATATTCCGTACCAATGAGTCCGGTACTCGACTGTAGGCCTCATGCAAGACACAAGTTTTGAAGTCGCCAAACTTAATATCAAGTCCTTCTGACAGAAACATGCCCCCCACAGCCTGTCCCATATTCTGATTGAATCTTCCCTGCACTCCTGTCTCATCACTTATTGGACGTCTCCCCAGACACTCTTCTTCGATGAATATATATCTCGCAAGAGAATAACAATCGTTCTCCTGTGACTTCATGGCGTTTCTGCCATTTGGCACAAAACATAATGCCCATGATAGCGTGAATTATTCTCGCTATGTTAGACGTCAGTATTAGGGTACCAACAAACCAACTGGTATCTTATGGCTGATTGCGGTTGACTCCTCGTTGGACATCTAAATTAGATTTTGTATATCGGCCACTTTCTGCCCAGTCCGATGATCAAGTGCATCAACCTGTGACCACACGTCGGTCTCCTTCAACCTCCAAGGAAATATATACTCATATAATGGGGTACTGAGTTGGTTGCATACCATTGCCATAGTAGTTACTCTATAAGCAACCAAAATTGGCTTTGCAAATCGCTAGACTAGCGTCTTTCAGGACGCTTTAACTTGAACCAATAAGGACAAAAGTAATTGGGCCAAACTCTCGCAATGTATCTAATAACCACGGGACATTTGGGTCCCTCACTGTGGGAAGAGACATCGTCTCCATTCCAGGACATACCTGTAGCATAGGTAGTGTAGTCGAAAATCTCAGTCTTTGAATACCAGGCCATCTAATGCAGAGGCCCTTGATATCGAAAGGACATCCCCTGGTAATGATGGACTCAGGTAGTTGTACTACACGGACTCTTTCCTCGCTGCAGAGTACCTGACGGCCTGCGGTCCGTATCGGCTCTCTAGCATCTGAGGATTAGTGTGATGGAGCGCTGTTATAACTCGCTCGATTTAATAAGAGGATATTGCCACTGGTAACTGGATAATTCCACAATAATATAGTCCAGAATTTCTTCTGTTCACCAACAGATACTGTGGCATGTCCGCGATCATTTGCCATTAAGGGTGTTGTGCAGCCCGTAATCGTGTGCCATATGCATTGTGCTAACACGCCAGTGCAGTGCCATGGCTCTGACACTGCTTTATGGCTTCAACTGCTGCATCTAGGAGATTCTGCACAATCTCGTGCTTTCTTAGTGTCACGGAAAGCCAATAGAAGTATATAAGTCATGTCGATGAGCAAGACATCTACAACAGTCAAGGTTATCCTTTTCCAGAGATAGTAGGCCTTTGTGACTATTAGCTTTTTAATGCATATGATACTTTGGCTATTTATATTATCAAGTTCATTGACTCGGCTATTAAAATGCCATGTATCTAAGATGTATCTAAGATGATGGGAGTTGTATGAAGAGGAGAGTTGGATACGGAGGATACTGCAGTTTATATATTGGAGGGCTACGTAGGAGCTGGTGAAGTTGGGAAGGGGTCGTGAATAGAAGTATAAATATGAGCCTGAGTAATTGAATACGAAGAGACTAATTAACCATACAAGAAGGTAATGTATAGGAAGGATTCCCTTTGGGACATGTTGTAACTTGGAAGGAGAACTGCAGATCAATCCGACGATTCGACACGCCGTCCCGAGCACGCTTCGGACCGTCACGTATCGTCAGTAGCGCCACCATAGTTTGGAGTGGACTAGACTGGTAATCATTTCCCGTAGCGAGATAGAGGACTGTGTAACGAGTTAAGCGCATTGCAGGCAATAGTTCGATCATAGACAACATGATGATCCTAGACAATGAGGCTGCCAGTTCGGGTGGCTGAAAGCGGTAATGCTCCATCTCGTCATGAACCGCAGGTCCCACATACCCGGGCAGGAAATGTCTTACTCGTGTTGCAAGTTTATCCCTGTCGGGCCACCCCTCAACTTTGCGCTGGAACGTCGATATGGCTTGATGTTGGCGGAAGTCGGCTCGGCACACCCGCGTGCCACGTCTCTCGACTGCACTTGGAGCAGGAAACGAGAAGCCTGGGATGAGCCCGTCGCATTATGCATGTACTTGGCAGGTACACAGTGAGGTTGTAGACATACTGCCTAAAGCGTCTTGGCGAGGCGTGACCGCCTATTTGTCCAGCCTCACGGTCAGCGCGATAAGGGTCGCGTAGGCGGCAATGCTAAGGGCCGTTAACACCACCACGGCATTTCCACTAGTTCTGAACTTGTGACGAATGCCATCCTCCCCTATCTCGGAAAAGAATTGCCGGTTGCCTTGTTGACGACGGAAGAGTCCGATGATAAGCACGCCCGTGCCGTAGATGGCGAAAAGCGCTCCAGTGCTATAGAACTCGCTGGTGAAGATCTTCAATACCACCAGGGCGAAAGAGAATTGGGATAAAGCTGTACGGATGTAGGCGCCTTCGAAAGTCCGCTGCGCTGCTCGTACTTCGACAATCTCATCCGAGGTTAGCGCGACTGTGCGGGCACGGTGCATCCGCAGCCGGTAACGGTCCGCGGCGCGACGCTGGAGCCAGTCAGTACAGACACCATTATAGATGCAAATCTCATTGTAGGAAGAATAAGCCGTGTGGTAATCGCCAGTCAGCCAACGCACCTCAAACATCACGACGTGTCATGTAATATATGAGTGGTACGACTCGAGTTCTCCGATCGACGGGATACTGGAGTGAAGGGGCGACTGTTTGGCTCCTCGTTTGGTGATGAGAAGCGAACTGAGGGCACTTTTGATGTGGCTGAAGTTAGGCTCCAAAAAGTATGCCGCGTCGAAAGTCGACAAGTCGACATGAAAAATTCAAGATGGACGTTGGGCAAGCCGAAGGATGATGAGGGGATTAAGCTAAGCAGCCTGGTCTTTCACGTGGTCTAGCTGCACTGGAAGAGGAATAGCACGCGACCATGGCACCTGATGGCTCAACTTGGCGTTAAGCTGCATCGTCTGCTGTAGCCTGTAGCCTATAGCCTTTTCGCTACGTGGAGGACTTGCTTTCCTGAATCAATTGTAGAGCTGCAAAAGGGTTACTCATATGAAATACATGAAGCTCAAGAGCATACTAAGATAAGGACTTTTCCGAAAGAAAACTGGAGACAGGCTTGAGCCATGACATCAAGGGTCCCCGGATTGTCCACCAATGGCCGATCGTCCTTCTCTAAGCAGTCCCCGTCGGCGACCGACATTTCCCAAAACAGGCGGCATTTCAATCGCCGCCCCCAACTTTGTCTCCTCGTCGGAGTTCAGGCCGAGCCGTAAATGGGGGTGGGTTTAACCGGGTTAGTTGAATGCGAGGAGGCATTTCGAGGCCACCGCTCCGAACACTTCATCTCCTACCGTCTTTTCCTCTCTTGATTATCCTTGATTTCTCCTCATCTCTTCTTCCCTCTTCCCTCTTGCGGGTCACATTCGACAATTGTAACAAAACCAATTGCTACGACCCAAACATCTCTCTGAATAGCAAGATGACCAAGGTATTCGACGCGGCGGAAGGTTAGTATACCCCGGAATTCCCCATGCAGCGCACAATTGTCATCTCAAGATAGAGTTACAGTTTTGAAACTAACTGAAGACCCTCAGTCGCAAAACACAACACCCCAGAGAGCTGCTGGGTAATACTCTACGGAAAAGTTTACGATGTATGTTCACCCAATCATACATTCTTCTGTGGCTTAACCGAAACTAAACACTCCAACTTAATCAGGTCACCGACTTTCTCTCAGAGCACCCTGGTGGTGCCAAAATAATTCTCAAGCTTGCAGGAAAAGATGCCACAGAGGAATACGACCCTATTCACCCTCCGGGCATCCTGGAGGAGAACCTGAAGCCCGAAGCATTCCTGGGAACGGTTAATGCTGACACGCTGCCGAAAGTACAAGCGGAGCCAGCCTCAGACGCGGGGGAGAAGGAAGGCCCGCCTCCGATGGAGAGTCTACTCAACATGGACGATTTCGAGCAAGTGGCCACCAGAAATGTCAGCAAGAAGGCATGGGCCTATTACTACTCAGCTTCTGACGACAAAATCACAAAACATTTCAATACTGAAGTTTACCGATCCATCTTGCTGCGACCACGGGTATTCATCGACTGCACGCGATGTGACCTGGATACTACAGCTCTGGGCAACAAAATCGGCATGCCCATCTACGTCTCCCCCGCAGCCATGGCTCGATTGGGCCACCCAGCAGGTGAAGCTGGCATTGCGGAGGCCTGTCGCAGCTTCGGGGCCATGCAGATCATTTCCAACAACGCTTCAATGACCCCAGAGCAGATCGTTAAGGACGCCGCACCAGACCAAGTATTTGGATGGCAATTGTATGTCCAAACAGATCGGAAGAAGAGCGAGGCCATGCTGGCACGCATAAACAAGCTCAAGGCGATCAAGTTCATTGTTCTCACTCTGGACGCGCCTGTGCCTGGAAAGAGAGAGGACGATGAGCGCGGCAACACCGTGGGCGCATCAGCACCAGTTCCGAGCGCCACAAAGGCCGCAGACAAGTCTTCGAAAGATATCAACAACGGAGGGGGAGGTGTCGGACGCCAGCTTTTCGCGGGCACGGATCCAACCCTCACATGGAAGGAGACTCTGCCGTGGTTGGCTAAGCAAACAGATCTCCCTATTGTCCTCAAGGGTCTTCAGACTCACGAGGATGCTTACATTGCATCCCTTCACACTCCTCAGGTCAAAGGCATTATCCTTTCCAACCATGGTGGACGTGCTCTCGACACCGCCCCTCCAGCTGTGCACACTTTACTCGAAATCCGGAAATATTGCCCGGAGGTCTTTGATAAGTTGGAAGTATGGGTTGACGGCGGCATCCGCCGTGGCACAGACGTTGTCAAGGCACTCTGTCTCGGCGCCAGGGGCGTCGGTATTGGACGCCCTGCTCTGTGGGGCTTAGGAGCCGGTGGTGTTGAGGGTGTCAAGCGCACTCTGCAGAGTACGTATATGGATCCGTAATTCAAATAGGGCGTCTGCTGACTGGGATATTAGTTCTGTCCGACGAGACCAAGACATGCATGCGGTTACTTGGTGTTGAGCGTGTGGAGGATCTAGGACCCCAACATGTAAGTGTCGGCTGCATTCCACTTCTTTTGTCGTCTTTCCAGCACTAACCGACTATGCGACAGATCAACACCCGCCTTGCAGAACAGCAAATCTACGATGGACCGTCAGGGCTGGAAGGTATCCGAAGCACATACCGTGCCAAACTATGAACCGAGCGACGTCTGGAATGCGAGTATACATCCTAGCATCTCTGTTCTTTGTAGACTGCACAGAAATAGACATGGCGGTAGCCATTACTACTTGCAAGCCTGACTTGACTGTCCGTAGAATGCATATAGCGTCTACTGCAAAGAGACTCGTAACACTCATAACTTGGTCTATGAGGGAAATTTGAAGCTATCGAATGACTATCAACAAGTATAGCAAGCTTTTGATGTTTCATAAGTTTTTGATGATAAGGCAGTGGTAGTGTCCAGTATTGATACATGAAGGAATATCCAGTGGCCCAAATCAGGAAATGTAGTCCGTAAACAGTCAGTATTAAAGTGACCAATGAAACAATCCTATCAGTAACCAGAAACAGAGAGGTGTTGAATCCTTCTTGACCATATCAACACAACCAATTCTTAGACAAGATATAACAAATATGAGGCCAAGAAAGGAGGGAGTTTATGATCTTATAGTGCCGAAACATAGGTTCTCTTGTCAACAGCAGAGACTCTAAGACCAGAGGATTAGCATTCTTTCTGTAGAACAGTTGAAGCAAATAGGAAGAACCCTTACTAGCAAGATCAACAGTTGAAGAAGAGCCATCACACATATGACTTGAGCGCCTCAACCACCTTATTCTTGTATTCACCCACTCCCCATCTTAGGATGGCGTAAATATTTCTCAGAATCTTATAACAGACTTTTTCACCATTTGCATGCCATGACTTGACATGTGCGGAACAGTATTCGATCTTGTCCGTGCTGTCTCCCGGAACCATTTTCCGGTAATGAACCCAGAGTTGGAATGTTGCTCCCTCCGAAACAAGTGAGAATACCGGAAGATTGGTAACATCAAAGCCCTTCTTGGACTTCGCGCTTTTCGTTCCACTCCTATTGTCAGAGAGCATCTGAAGCATCCAGAGTGCCCCAGCAGCACCAACTGCAGCTCGATTCTGGGCCTGATGCAGGTTATCTCCGTTGAAGTCGGCCCGGACTTCCACGATGAAGAATGGAAAGCGCAGATACTGCGGCTTCGCGTATGGATCACTGATCACTCCATCTTTTTCTTTCAACTTGTTCCAGAAATCTTTCGCGGCTGTATCATCCGGGTCTTTGTATAGGATTTCTCGTAGGTGAGACTCGCTCAGCCCAACACAAATGTCAGGTCGAGATCGGTGCTCTGAACTTTGCAGGAGCTTTGTCATTATGTCTCTATGCAACTCTTTCTGGGATGTCAGATATGGTGCTAAAGATAATCAAAACTTGGGGAGATAATGTCTTACATACCTTTATCTTCAACAGTCCTGAACGCTACCCTGTTCTCTAGGTTCATGTGAAGAATAGCATTATGTATGAGCCCTACCCACTCATGTTTCATGTTGTTTCTGCGGCTGAGCTCAGCTATCTTCGCCATGAACGCTTCCACTACTTTGCTCTGCTCCACTATTCGGAGCTTCTTGCTACCCAAGACCGTGCTATCTGCATACTCTTTGATATCATCCGGTGGCTTAACGTCGACTATAATGCCGGACGGTTCAAGGTCGTCAAAGCGCTCGAGGCGTTGATGGAGCTTGAAGGAGACGTTACTGGACAATGAGTCTACCGGGCTCACAGGCTGAGCCTGGAGTGAAACGGTCGGTTGAGGAACAGCCTCCTCGGACTGGTCAGGTGCCTCAGGAGCTGTCTCCACGACCTTGCGACGTTTGGATGACGAGTTTTTGGATTTGGACTGATTTCTCTTCTTCTTAGATGAAGCCATGGTTTGTATATGCTCAGTGAGGTGATCAGTGTCTGATGATGAGATGCTGAAAGGAAGCAAAAGCACGATCACTGGGGTTGGGGTGCAGAAAGGCGCGCCGTTTGACCCTACTTCCCAATAAGGTAGGGCGCGCCTATTCTTAGAAAAAGGACTTCTGTCACTGAATCAACCGGAATTGTGCACGATTTCTCGGTCAAGTCTCCTTGATAGCTTGGCTTATGGTTCAAGGGTGGGTCCAGGTAGGTGAATTGTCTCTCACCGTGCCACCCGATATCACGGCTGATTAGATACATAGAGAACATAGTTTAGATCCTGAATGATCTACCGATCTCGAAACAATGACTTCCATACTCCTTCAAACCAGCTCCTGTCCTTTTCCCAGGCCTTGGTGACGATATCTCTACCCAGACGAACAGCATCTTCAACCTGCTGCGAGGTACCCCAGCCAGGAATTAGAGGTGCCCAGGCAATGAAATGGACGCCAACGTGGATCAATACCCGAAAGGCCGTCTCATCATCCAGGTTCTGGTATCCCTTCATGAAGCCTTGGATAATCCACGTCGCCGCATCGATATCCTTGAAATGCTTCAACAGGTAGAGCTCAGCGAACATTTGGCCCAGATCGAGGGCACGAGCACCGCAGTGGCAAAGTTCCCAGTCGATGATGAATAGAGAAAGGTGATTTGGTTGCTCGAGGGCGGTTTTGGGGATGAGGACACTATGTTGCATCAGCTTGCTTGTTCTTCGTTCTATCAAGGCAGGGAAGGCACGGACTTTCCCGACCAAAAATCACCGTGAATTATCCCAAACCCATTTCCGTCCTTTCGACTCAGCTCTCCGGCCGCCATTTCCCGGACCTTGCTGAACACATCCCGGGAATCTCCCAGTATAGTCGGGTATTTATCAATCGTATTGACCAGAGCATCATAGTTGACCATGAATTTCAAGTCTCGCATATACTGGTTCTTGTCCATCTCGGCCGCCACCCCAGACTGGGCCTCATTATCAGCCCAGTGATGGAATAATTGTAGCCAATTCCCTAGTGCACGACCTATGGAGGATGCCCATTCTTGAGTCAGGTTGTTGGAAGCGGCTGTGGAGATTAAGAAGGACTTGAGGTCCAGGGAATCGGGAAGATCTTCTATAACAGCAGTGTTGGTTTCGCGATTGAAGGAGAAGAGACGAGGCGTTTTGACCGTCACTTCCTGAGTTTGCACATCAGAATTGTTGCTTCTGTTTTGTTTGCTAGGCAGCCCATCGAGAGCCTTCAAGATGGATTCCTCAAAAAGCTACATGCCATATGTTAACACGATGTGGGTAGTATGTTTGACTTCACACAAGGGATACGAACACAGCGTTCAGCCGGGAGTTTAAATTCCCGATTAAGAGCAATGAATGCCTCTGTATGCTTCACTATTACGGATTTTGTTCCATCTGGGAGCGGTTGATCGAGCTGAGCCCGATAGACAAAGTTGGCGGTTCCCCCGCTTAGTGGGGTTAGCGAGGACGAGGCATACTGAGTCCCGGCGAGTTCTTGGGATACGATCTTGAGGAGGTCTTTGTCGGACATGTTGCTTTTATTTGCATAAGACTCAAGCTCGAAATTGCCTTCAATTGAGTGTAATTTAAAGTTATTGAGATTTATAGCTAGCTAATAGTTAGTTGGTGAAAGAGGGTTGTTCTGCTGAGTCATGATGTCGGGGTCCCTTTTGGGATACGATGTTGCATCGTCTGAATTCTAGAATCTAAAACTCCCCACCATCTGAGACCACCATCAATCTCCCTAACATCAGGACATTAACCCCTTATTAAGAGAAAAAGGTAATGGAACAAGTCGCTGTTATGCAGTCACGCATTGGCTTGCCCATGATGTGGGACGAGCTATCGCGACTACCTCTGGTTCAAGTGTGTAGGGGATCAACAATAACCACCCAGGTATACTGCATCGAAACGTTATTAATTGGAATCAGAACTATACATTCGCTGAGTCTGGAACATGGTCAAACGTGTCAATTCAAAAGATCATGTCAATTCCTCAATAGAGCATTTCCCGACACGAAACCTTACCATACTCCACCTCTACCATGCGTGCTTCTGTCTACTGTGGGATACGCTTCCAGACGTACAACCTATCATCAACTGGCTATCTACGAGCCACATCCATAAAACGGACAGTGGGCGGAATATGACAATCATTATCTACACGCTATGGCCTCCTCTAACCCTGAAGAAACCTGTTCATACATGTAGACGAAACCTGGCTATAGGATTAATTGAAAGCTTAAGATGCCATCATCTGCGCGTAAGTTTAATTGAGTTTTTAACTTCAGACGAATAGGTTCTCGAGTTTATATACTCCACAGCGTTATTATATATAGGATCTTAAGGAACCATCCCTTCATAAAACTCGGCATGATTCTTCGACATACAAGAATGACCGCCAGAACTCACACTCCGTCGTTCCAGCCTTATACCCTCACGCCTCTGGACCACCTGCTCCCTCCTCATCATGTGTTCGCTTATATGTCTTTTCGACCTGAACAGCCGTCTGAAGCAGTTGATGCGATAGATTCCGGCCTATCAAACTTGGTATCCCAGTGGCCATTCTTGGCTGGCAATGTTGCGATGGTGCAGAAGGAGAAAAGAAGAAACGTCAGAGAGTTGCAGCCACCGACAACATCGGACCTCCTTCAATGTCCCCTGTTACATGTCAAACACCATCAACACACCATTTCAGATGCTTTAGCCTCGCCAGTCATCGATCATGAAATGCTAAACGTTCCGAAGACACTCTCGAATTCCAACCCCATACCTGCTGTGCGGTTTCAGGCCAATGTCATGCAAGATGGACTCATTTTATGCCTCGCCTGGCATCATCAAGTAATGGATTCGCTAGGCGTCACCATAATTTTGCACGCTCTAGCTCGGTCTTGCTCTGAACGGGATCAAAAGAGTGCCACTCCCAGACGTCTTCCGATGGACCACGATAAAGAAGAGCAGGCAAGGAGGAGGATAAACCAAGCTGCCAACACCAGCAACCCCGACCTCAAGGATGCATACTGTGAGACTAGTTATGAGGAAATACGTGGACGACAGCCCGACTCAATCATCTGTCGTCGTTATACTATGCATACAGACAGAGTCAACTACCTCAAAAACTCGTGCAACAATCTTGCCCATGAGCTTGCCAAGGGTCATTCAACGTCACAGAAAATCTCACAAAGTGAAAGCCAGTACAAACTTGAAAGCATCTCAAGTGACGATCTGGTAACTGCTCTAGCATGGCTCTCTGTATCCCGCGCTCGTCGTCGAGTTGCTTCCAAGCATTCGTCAAGATTACCGCGCGTATCCTCTTTGTCCAGAAATATAGAGGTTCGCTCAATACTCCAACCTCCTCTTCCAAGAAGCTACCTGGGGAATAGCCTCGTGCTAGCGAAAACCCAGTGCGAGTGGAAAGATATCCCTACTCCACAGGAAGCCCCTCCCGTAACCCGAAAGCAAATGGACAAAGAAACAATCAACGCATTGCTCAAACTAGCCCTGATGTCTCGAGCCAAATGCAAGTCGATTCAAGACGAGCAAATTCGCGGTCTCATAGGCCGTGTGGAAGAGTGCGATGATTTCTCGTCAGTTTCTGGTGCCCCTGCCGAGGTTATAATGTCCAGTCTTCGAAAAACTGACATATATGCCTCGGACTGGGGTAAGAAACTGGGGCCACTGTTGGACTTTGATACCATTGACGGTCGAACCGATGGGTTGACTCTAATTCTACCCGATAGAAATCCCGCTAGGAGAGGAGAGAGCAATTGGGAAGTCCGCGTGAACCTACCCGTAGAAGTTATGGAAGAGTTTGGGAAAGATGAGCTGTTACTTTGGGTCACGGAGGCAGAAAAGCCAGGAGCGAGGCTGTAGGCTTACAGGCATTGAGCTTTTATCTACACTTATATACTACTCCAGGTTACAATGTGTTCAATGAAGTAACTGTTGCACCCTCAAGTTCCAAATTGATATGATTTGACGTGCAGTAGGTTCATGATGAAGCTTGTTGCTGAGCGTGAGAAATTCAGATATGAATACACTAAAGCAGTATGAAGGACTGTCCTTGCGAGTGGTCGGTTTAGGATCATTAAATGTCAGGAACAATGAAGCAGAACGGCTACTACTGAATAGTATCCTACTATAAGCTTCAGAGATAGAAAAAAAACATTTCGTGACTCCCTCTACGCACGTTTCCTGGACCCTGTAGATTATTTGCTAGGAAAAGATCCGATTATTGATCAACTAGTAAGGATGTAAAAGTAATGAACAGGAATGGAACAGCCGCTATATACATCACTTAGAACAATATATCCGCTACTATTCATCGAGAAGAGACAAAAGGTTCCCGCCCTCATAGTTCTAGTTTACATCTAAGACGAAGTCTGAACAGCAAAAGTACCATTCAGCTTCAGGTCACGCGAGCTTGCACCCACATAGACCTTGTAGTCACCCGAGGCAACAAGCCACTGCTGGGCACGGACATCCCAGTAGGAGATGTCACGGCGGCGCAGCTTGAAGGTCACCTCGCTCTGCTTGCCGGAGGCGATCTCGACGCGCTCAAAGCCACGGAGCTGGCGAACGGGTTGCTGCGCAGCAGTGGGGAATCCGAGGTAGAGCTGGGGGACTTCGGCGCCGTCGAGCGAGCCGGTGTTGGCGACCTTGACGGAGACGCTTCCCACGATATCCCAGAGGTCGCTGTGTCCTCCGACGGTTTGTTCGCCGGTGGGGTACTTGGATAGGGTGGAGGGCTTTTCGATGCTCAGGTCGGAGTAGGAGAAGGTGGTGTAGGAGAGACCGTGGCCGAAGGGGTATCTGGGGGTGATGTTGTAGGCGTCGAAGTAGCGGTAGTCGAGGTAGACGCCTATGAGGATTCAGTTTTAAGTACATGCGAGGATGTAGAGAAGAGTGGTATGTTAAGGCTGCTTACCTTCGGTGAAGTCACACTGCGCTGTGTAGCAGATCTTGACGTTGTAGTCACTTTCGTTCTTGGCGATGGTGTGGATGAGGCGGCCAGAGGGGTTCACGTCTCCGTAGAGGACGTCGACAATGGAGTTACCAGACTCCTGGCCCAAGAGGGATCCGTAGAGAACTGCAGTAACGTTGTCATGTTCGATCCACTGGTCCATCAGGCGCGGGCCGACGGTGTTGATGATGACGATTGTGTTGTTGCAGTTATCGGCAACGGTGTTGACCATGGTGTCTTGGTCGTCATTGTAGAGTTCAGTGCGATCAGCGCCTTCTCCGGACAGAGCATTCAGGAAGACGAGACAGGCATCGGAGTTGGTGGCATAGTTGGTAAACGAGGGGTCCACAGCAGTGCTGTCAGTCCCCTCTGTGATCAAGCCGGAAGTGCTAGAAGAGGTATAGGTATCGTTGAGCACCCACCGCATCATGGTTCCATCCTCAATGATTCTGTTAGTTAGTGCAACGTAAGGTGGCACTAAGTAAGGCAGGGATGCTTGAGCAGAACCGGTGCCGGTGGCCAAGTGACCCTGGTACGTCGGTCCCGAACCCTCGATGTCCATGGCCGTATTGGGTCCTCCCAACACAGGACCAGCGTGGGCACCGAAAACGCTCATCACACGAGGCTTCTTCAATGGCAGAGCGTTCTTGTTCTTCAGCAGGGCCATTGACTTGGCTCCATTTTCCCGGATCAGCTTGGAGTGGTTGCGTCTCACATCCACGTACGCATCTTCACTTTGTTCCTCGGGTTGGAGCCCGTTGTCCAGGTTCACATAGTAGTAACCCATCAGATTGCGGATGGCCATATCGTCCAAGCGAGCCTCACTCAGAGAGCCATTGGACAACAGAGTCTCCATGGTAGACGTGCTCCAGATACTACTGGAACCGTAATCCTCACCGCCGAGAGCAGACTCCAAAGCACTGCTCTGGCCATTAGTATCAGGCCATACCAATCCCGGGAAGCCAAGCTCAGTCTTCAAATGCTTCATCAACAGATCGGAGTTCTGACAGCTTAGTGTGCCATTAACCTTCGTCATGGCACACATCACAGCACCCAGACCATGTTTGACTGCGTCATAGAAAGGCCAAAGATACGCCTCGTGCAGAGTCTTGTCATCGGCATTGGAAGAGTATGGTGCCGAGCCGCTATCCGACTCAGAACTGGAACTGGCAGCACGACGGCCCATTGATCCTGTAGGCTTCGCGCCCATGGATGAAGTATTCGACGAGCCGGGCCCCATTCCTCCAGAAGGCATACCGCCGCCGCCAGGACCACCACCGCCGCCGCCGCCAGTCCGATTTGTTTCCTGTTCGTAGAGAAGGAAGTGCTGTGCAGTAGTGCAACTTGGGTCAGTCAAAGAACAGCAGTATCCTAGGGGGGCAACATCTACTACTTACCTTAGCACCTGGGATAACGCCAGCGTCGATGTAGGCTTTTGTTGTTAACCCAGTGGCTAGGCCATTAAGATAAGGGTCGGGGCCAAAACCCTCAACATTCCGACCACCCCAGGGCGTACGTCCCAATGGCTGAGAAGTCGGGCCAGCGACAACTTGGATTCCCTTGTTGTAGAACTCAGAACCGACAGCTTTGCCCTGTGCGTAGATGGCGTCGCGGTCCCAGGTCATAGCAAGTGCTGAAGACAAGCTGAAAGCGGATACATAGTAGAAGTTCTGGAGACCCATGTCACCGTCAAGGAAAGTAAGGCCACTAAAGCTGCCATTAGTGGAGTTGACACTGCTGCCCGTGATCAAAGCCAGCTTCTGATCAGTGGTCAGGCCTGCGACGAAGGAAGAGGCCTTCTGGTAGGCGGAGTCCCAGTCTCCCAGGGCCACTGTATACGACTTTAGCGGACCGACTCAGCGAAAGCGTGCAGATGAGTGTCCAGTACTTACCACCGTCTGACTTCAACAGCCCCTGGCTGGAGTTCGAAGACGCACCAGTCAAGCCCAGAAGGGCCGCGGCCACGATGAAGGAGAGGACTTTCATGTTACTGAGGAACCATATAAAGAGGGACAAAAGGAAAGAATAAGGAGTGACGAAATAAACAGCAAGTTATTGCTAGAGAAAGCGAGTGAGGTTATGTGAGAACAAACGATCCAGATTTCTAGATCAAGGTGGGCATTTATCGTACCATTTATCCTCTGCTATTAGACTTAGAGCATCCTCATTGTGAGACCTGCGCCGACCCCTTGTGAGGAATGATGTACGGCACGAGTCGTATCATCCTCGGTTTACTGGTCAGTGGACTTGATAGATCCACGCATCTTACGTATGGCTACCTTAATGACCGCGAGCTTTCCTAGATAGCGTGCCTGTCCTGAATATACGGCTTCCGGGATGCCAAGTCGGAAATCCCGACGTCTTTGGTGTTTGGCTCGTGAAACCGCCGGCGTCCCGTATGACGCGATAAGTTCGACCCTTTCGGGGGTGATTGGCGACAGTCTAACCCCAGGCAACGCGTCATCTTGCCCTCTGCTGGGTTTGCCGACATGCCTTCGGGGAATGTGCGCTAATTGGTCCCGGCGGTTCGCCTGAGAGACATCACTGTACAAAGGTGAACATTAGTCACAAATCTTGCCATGTATGCACCGGTCCTTCTTTGGGAGACACAAGCTTCTGGTTAATCGGCAGGATAGAGGATCAGGCTCGGGTACTTCTTCCCTCTTAGTAGGAAACAATGATAAGGCCCAGGGAAAGCCAACAGGTGCCGGCGGAGGGCAAATTGCTTGTGCTCTTGAAAACCTTTGAGGGTTCACGTCAGCCCTGATGGATCCTTTCCTTGACTGGTCCCTTTCTCAGGCGATAAGTCATGGGCAGAGTAAGTAAATAGCCATCGAACTGAATTAGAGATGCTAAGCCTTCGAGGACATGCACTAGGGCTGAGGTGGTGGGTCTCGCGTTGAAGGAAGTGTGGGAACTGAAAAATGGCCGGGATTTGCTCTGATAACAGTAATGCTGGTGAATCCAACCCGGAACTACTCCGAGAATGAACATTAACCATATGCACCTTTTCTCAGAGGAACATTTCTCCTAGTAGATTAGGCCTAGATCCAACGAGGGGCTTCTAAGCTCGAAACAAGTATTAAGTGGCGTAGTTTCAAACAGGCGGAGTCCGTTTGTTAAGTCTGGCATTGTGGGTGCGAAGAAGCCTCGTAACGCGAACTCATTGCTTAGTTTAGTTCCCTGGTGTTCTTCTTCCGAAGTCTTGCCGAGGTAGTCATTTGGGCATGGCAGATATTCTGTCAGGTTGTACGAAACAATCATGGGGTCTCATATAGCCTTTCCTTGCTTGGTCAACTCAATTTGGCCAAAGACGGTGAATTAGGGAGGAAGATGAGGGAGAGGATTGAGACCAGATCAAGAAACAGATCATGTGTTTCTCCCTGGTGGGTTTGATCGAAATGCAAACTCCAGGGGCTGCTCTCAGCGTCAGCTTTTGACACATCCAGATGCGCTATAATCTAAGTCGGACCACTACAACTATTTGTCGATAACAAATACAAAAATCCTACGAAATCAGTCGTATTCCATGAATCCTGTGTTTAACCTCCACCGATAATAGAATCTCCATATGGTTATCGCGATCCATGGCCGAATTTCCAATACTCTGGATTGCCGAAGTAGCCAGCCAGGGTACTCACCCCCACTGGACCCAACTCCCCACAGGGGCAATTCGTGGCTGGGTGACGTGGACAGGATTAGCTTGCTGTACACATTGTTGCAGTAGTTTATCTGCTTCCACTAGGTGCTGGAGACGTATAATTTAGGGAGACAACATTTATGGGAGCAATCACGCAGTCAAAATCCTTCATTTCTCATTGATATTGTATGTCAATTGCTACCACTGTGAAATTGGTCTTACGATGCTTATTCTTCACGATGCTGATGTCGCCTTCATTGCAGAAGATGGGTTTGTAGAGCAACCAAGGAGCTGTTTCACTCCGGCAATAATTGCAGGCATGACGCCTTGGACAATGTCTGGCAAGAAGAGCAACCACCGTCAAATCAGATTCTTGACATTGCCATTCACTAGCTACTACTTAAATTAATGGTACTCGGGCAATGCGGAAGTTTATTCTGGCCCTTTATGTTAAGAAGCCCGTGACCGTACATATCGGTCACATCCTGAAGCGAAGGCTGTTGTTGTCCAGTAAACGTTTGCACAAACAGTCTTGAACCTCTTCACTACCAATTGAACGCATGACTAGTAAGTATTAAAGCCCCGAAAAAAAAAACTACAACAGAATTCAAATGGGTGCTTCATGTTTTCTAGCTACTAAGTTCAGATTGAGAGTTTGCTTTCAGTACGGTTGTATATTTAATAGTGATTAGTAGGTACAATATAAGTACTGGGCCTACAACTCAATTCAATGCTCACAGTAACGTTTGCTCTAGTACTACTTCAGATCATGCTACTTACCTCAAACCGTGAGTACTATATCAATCAGAGTGTACTTATTGGAAATCCCATGACTTCTGAGTGACTAGGGTACATCCATAGTGTCTGGCCAACCGATCTACTCACCAATCACGTGATGAGAGAGCCAGCAACAGGAGGAAGAGACCACAGTTCAATCAGGCAATCCGCTACCACTAGAACAAGGTAGGAAAAGGTCCTCTGACATCTGTTCATGCATCTTCAACATCGTCTGGGAAAGACTCCAGACTGATCAGCGATTTCTAACCAATGCGTCCATCCGAATGCCTAAATCCCTGTTGGGTCCACAATCCGACCCAGGCCTGTCCCTGTTGAACCATCGATGATTAACAATTCTGACAATATTCAAGTTACTTCTAGACTTGAGAATGATTGAGCGCCATCAGAGAAAGTGAGCCTGTCATTGAGGTCAGCTGGGACACCATTGAGAGGCGCATCGGATCCAGCCGCATAATGGTCGGGGATTTGCTTGATGATGGGGGTTGACCACACCCCCCCCCTCTCTCTGACCTCTCTCCCCCCCCCCCCCTCCCCGCTTGTCCACCAAAACTTTAGACCCGCGTTTGTCTGAACTCCTTTCTCAACAACGTCGCCCATATTTCAATCCTGTAAATCATAAGTGATAGGGTCAAGTCAGAGAGCAGCGGATTGTTCCCATCACGCGTCTCACTTGGGTTTGCCTGACAGCTTCGAAGTTGGGACCTAGGTGTTCCATTTCGAGCTGCAGGTTGAGATCTCTGGCCCCTGGATCGGGTTCACTTGATCCGCGCGACAGGATTCTCTCGAAGAGGTTCTGTTCGAATTACCCTTCTCAGCCTTCCTCGTTCCTAAAAGCCTTCCTCTCGACCGCGCCGGATTACGGGGACGACGTCATGAACGACACCACGACCACGCCTTCTCCCACTCCGGGTCCCGCCACGAAAGCATCTCCGACTTTGAAATCCCCCTCAGTAGCGGCCGGAACGAAACGCAAGCGCGCATCCGCAGCGAAATACTATGCCGTGAAGGCTGGCTATCAGCCCGGTGTTTACTATGAATGGCGCGATTGTTTGACCCAGGTTACCGGGTACAAGGGAGCTGTCTGTAAGTGACTCGCGGATAGTCCGCGTTCAGTTGCCTGAAACTGACTTGTTCTTTCAGTCCAGGCCTTCCCTTCGTACGAAGAAGCAAATGCTTTCCTCACTGGGACCCGTGCGCCCGCTGCGCGCGGCGGTACCCCCCTAGATTCTGAACCCACGAGATTTTACGGTGTTCAGCGCGGTCGAATACCCGGTGTTTATACGGACTGGGCAAAAGCACAGGAGCAGATCAAAGGTTTTCCCAAGCCGCGTTACAAGAAATTCTCGACCAGGGAGGAGGCAGAGGAGTTTGCAAGGGAAGGCCAAGGATCCGGCGCTACGTTCGGAAAGACCCCGGAATCGCAGAAGCTCGCCGGTGCACCGGGGATGATGAACGGGGTCCCTGCAGATGCGCAGGGTATACCTTTTGAGGCGGGCACTGGTCCTCTGCCGACCGGAGCGGAGGATGGGTTTGACCCCAATGTATTGTTGGATCCCAAAACAGGAAAAGTGGTCTATAAATCACAGGACCAGAAGGCCGCGACCAAGGTGAAATCTACTGGTCCGCCGGGGATGCTGCGCATCTACACGGACGGTAGCTCCTTGAAAAATGGCAAAGCGCTTGCCTCAGCGGGCGTTGGGGTTTACTTTGGACCTGGCGATTCCCGGTTTGTCCTCCCTGACGCTCGTCGTCTTTATCCCTGAGAGGGTCTACCTTTGGCTAATACTGACGCCTGTTCTCCCAGCAGAAATGTTTCCGAGCCCCTTAAAGGTAGTCGCCAGACCAATCAGCGTGCCGAGCTGACGGCCATCCTCCGGGCGCTTGACATAGCTCCACGACATCGGGACGTGACCATCTTCACAGATAGCCAATACGCGATCAACTGTGTGACGGTGTGGTTTACAAAGTGGCGGCGCAACAACTGGATGACCGCTGGCAACAAGCCGGTGGACAACAAGGATCTAGTTGAATCTATTCTCTCGAAGATCGAAGAACGCAATGAGCTGAAGGTGAAGACCTTGTTCGAATGGGTCAAGGGACATAGCTCCCACCCTGGGAATGAGGCCGCCGATCGTCTGGCGGTGAGTGGTGCTCGACGAGGAGTTTCGGAGAAGGCTGCAGCATTGGAAGCAGTCAGGGACATTCCGGACGAGGCTTTTGAGGAGGAGGATGACGACGACTTCTGAGCTACCAATCGCGAGGTATCCTCGTAGATGCTCCCGGAGACAGATCAATGATGGCGATGGGTATTGTTTGTCGACGTACTGAGTAGGACTGTTGTGATGCGATCCGTGGACTTCTATCATGTCGGTCTCAAGAAATGACGTGTTCTCCCCCGGGCGGGAGAGAAAGTTGACCTAGAACTGCAGCATGAATTGATGCCTTACTTGGCACGAACCGGACCAGCTGTAGGTGATATGACCTGTATGACGGGCAGCTGAAAGTAAGAGTCGGTTGTAGAGTTGTAGGACATAAAAATACCACGAGGGTGTGCCTTTCCCGAAAGCGGCACGGGCCATTAGCAAACCAAAATGGAACTGACTGGGATCCCCGGAACTTTTTCTCCTCTCCCCGATTAGCTTTTCTTCCTCTTCCTTCCCACTCCCCACGTACCGCTGCATCCTCGCATCGCTTCTGGCGTAAAGTCGCTCATATCCAGTCTGATCGTCGCTGGAGGTCATTCGTCGCGTCTGTGCTTGCCTGCGTCTGCTTGCCTCGTGTCTGGTCTCTCGTATCGCCCGTTTTTACTTCCTCCCACCCCCCGAAGTTTATCGGGCTGGAAACTCGTGCTCTCGACGACGACGTTCGTCTTGTTAAAGATCCAGCTGTTGGAGGAATTTCACATTCTTCCGATGCCAGGAGAGCTTGCCATCAAAGATATCTATACTATTATGATTGAATAACACGTGCTTGTGACTTTGTTTGAATACTTCTATTCTCCCCACATTTTACCTTCTTTTACCCCGCGCTCCAGCTTAATAGCGAGTTGTAAACCTTCAAGATTCCGGCATCCTTGCTTGGGATCAAGCCATAATCAGCAATAGACGTTGTGCGCTGCACCTGGGGGAGCGCAACTGCAAGATGCCTACCCTATCGTTGATCAACTTCAACATCGTCTGTGCGACGCTGGGAGGATTTATATCCGTCTTCGGACTGGTGTCCTACCTCTTCAAGGAGAGGTTCTATCTCTCTGAAGCATGTCCGTCCTGCCTTTCTAACCTTCCACCCGATACTACCGATCTCTCCTCGGCTATGCGTGTCGTCGCTGATTAGACGGTGGATGACTGACGTTGTACAGTGATTTCATTGCTAGCTGGAGTGATCTTCTCCCCTCATGCAGCCAACTTCATAAGACCCCAAGAGTATGCACTTGGTTCCGAGCAGAACCTAGAAGAGATCACCCTGTACTTCACCCGTCTCGTTCTCGGGGTCCAGCTAGTCCTTGCCGGGGTCCAGCTCCCCAAACGATACCTGCAGATAGAATGGAAGAGCCTGTCGCTCCTTTTGGGCCCTGGGATGGCTGCCATGTGGATGTGTAGCAGCCTGGTCATTTGGGCGATGGTACCGAACTTTCCCTTTCTCCATGCCCTTGTCGTGGGTGCGTGCATCACTCCTACCGACCCCGTCCTGTCCAATTCCATTGTAAAGGGGAAATTTGCCGACAAGAATGTGCCTCGGCCCTTGCAGCGCATTATTGTGGCCGAGTCAGGTGCCAATGATGGTCTCGGCTATCCTTTTCTCTATTTTGGATTGTATCTTCTCAAGTACATTGGAATGGGTGGCGAGGGGTACAGTGGAGGCGCTGGGAAAGCTATAGGCCTGTGGTTCTATGAAACTTGGGTCTATACTGTGATCCTGAGTGTTGTCTACGGGATCGTAGTTGGGTGGCTGTCCCGTAAGCTGCTTCACTGGGCAGAGGAGAAGCATTACGTTGATCGGGAGAGCTTTCTTGTGTTCGCTATCGCTCTTTCTGTAAGTTCAATTCTGCCTAGGCCATCACACGTTACTAATATCGAATGCAGTTATTTATCATTGGTACATGTGGGTTGATAGGGACCGATGACCTCCTGGCCTGCTTTGTTGCCGGCAATGTGTTTACACAAGAGTAAGATTTTATACATCCATTCGCATTGATTCGGCTACTAACGAAGGTAGTGATTGGTTTCGCCTGGAAACCATGGATGACTCCTTGCAGCCAACCATCGATATGTTGCTGAATTTGGCGGTCTTCATGTGGTTCGGTGCTGTCTGCCCATGGTCATCGTTCCTGAACAACAGCGTGATTCCCTTATATCGCTTGATATTCTTGGGAATCCTAATCCTGCTAGTTCGACGAATGCCTATCATTTTCGCCATGCACAAGCTCATCCACCAAATCGAGCACTTCTACCAGGCAGCATTTGTTGGGTTCTTCGGACCTATCGGAGTCGGAGCTGTCTTCTACCTGTCGGTCAGCCGGGAATTTCTGAATCAAATCACCGTCGATGGTCAAGTCCGCGAAGACGCCGCGGAGGTGTCCGAGGCCGTGAACGTCGTAGTTTGGTTTCTGGTCATTTGCAGCATCGTAAGTTCACACATACCACAAACCTTATAAAACCTTCTGACTCCCCTCTGCAGATCGTCCATGGCCTCTGTATCCCCCTAGCAAAAGCCGGCTACCATCTCCCCCGGACAATTTCCCAAGCCTTGAGCACCAGCACCATTGCTGAACCCGACCCCGTACCGATTGCCAATGTGCAGCATACGCACAGCACTGCGACACGCGGCGTAGGTCCCACGAATAACCGGAACCGGAAGCGCGGTCAAGCAGGACGGGAACCGCCCGACCCGGCCGTCTTCCAGATCGGTCGGTCTGTTATTCGGACCACCTCTTCGCAGGAGCAAGTCCAGGTCGGAGCAGCAACTGCGGATGAACCTGCTCGACCTGTTAACCTGATTGTTCGGGAGAATGAGCAGGATAGTCCACAGGAGAGCAGTAACAGTAACAGTCCGACTCCGGCAGTCGAACAGCATGTTTAGTCTGCTTGGAGATGTATCTGGGCAGGATTCGGAGACGAATCCTTGCTGTTGCGAGCTGGAGCTGAGGCTGGAGCTGCATGGAGATCTTTTGTGATTGGTCTCTACTCACAGAATGATGCTTGTGTTGTATATATGGTGACGATGCAGCTGAATGGCTGCACATATAGATGATGAACGTTAGAGTTGAGGGAGATCTGTGTGGCTGAGAATGTGTGGATGGATGGGTGGATTGTTGAGTGTATAGAGATGAATGGGGTGGTGTATAGATGGGATGATAATATGTGGGAGTGAGAGACGTGATGCTGTATAAAGAGACGTTCTACCTACTAGTCAGCATCTAGTGACAGGGATCCATTGTAACTTGGTTCACTACATAGACTAGTTACTAGTAGTTAGCTGAATATATACAAATGCTTCATGACATGCTTGATACCTACTACTACTAGTTGATGTAAAGGAAGCCCATGATCTTATGAATATAAATACTATTGCCTAAACATGCTTTTTTATCAAGTCGTGCCTGAAATAGATCAACAAATAAATAAATATTCATCCCACCCTAAACCATGCCTTGATTTTGATGACCACCCTATTTTGCAATCCGCCGTATCTCGTCATTAATATGATAGTGAGAGTATAGGAAAAAAAAAATATGTGTGATTTGTGTTGAAACGAAAGGTTGTGTGTGTGTGTGTGTGTGTGTGTGTGTGTGTGTGTGTGTGATATGGTGCAAAGAGGAAACAAGAAGAAAAGAAAAAAGACATAGAATAACCAGCCATAATGGGCGGATCTGCTGCACCAGAACTGGCCCAAAATCATCTGGGAGTCAAAGAAAATCAACAGTAGTTCCCATCATTTTGACCTGAACTCAACTCCATCATAAGGCGTTGTTGTATCATGCTCATCACCATCCTCCGGACTCCTCATCTCTCCAACTTCGTTCAAATAAAGCATGCACGCCAACCGCCGACCAAAAATTCCACAACCCTTCTTTTTTCTGGATAGACATGTCTATTGGGGGAGAAAAGGAAAATCATGCAGTCGTTATAAACCCGTCCACGCCACATCAAGAAAAAACCCATCTGCATCAGCGAGGCAAACCAAGGGGCTATGCGAGGAAACTAGGGGTATATATCAGAGCGACATCTCACCAGATACAGCACCGCGAACACACAAGATCATAAGCGAGATAGATGGATAAGCTACAGGGAAAATGTCATCAGGAACACGGAAGGGAACGGGAAAATAATGACAAGTAAAAGCAAAGCACACAGCAATGGTCTGGAAAATGCCCACCATTGGTGTAGATTTGAACGCGAGCAAATAAGACGGGGTCCTTGCGCGACGGAAGTTGTCCGGATAGTCGGAAAGAAGGGCCCAACAACTCCCCGAATATCCGTTCCACTTCCGCAGCAGCGACCCTTGATGGTCGGTGAAAACACGGACCTCTAATGAACCGCCGGGTCGATGTCATGTTGTATGCGCAGTCGACAGACAAAAATTGAGTCAGTGTATATGGTTGATACGTGTTTGGGTAGGCGCCAGTACACATTAGGCATGCCACCAGGCAGCATTGGAATGCTGTGACCTCTCCCTAAATAAGGAGAGGACGGGAGGATGTAAAGAAGCAAATTGCGCTTGTTGGTTTTCTCTTTCGTCTCGATAGTTCACCGGTCGCTCCTGGAGATTGATTCTCTCCAGAAAATGCCAAATCAATCGATGCGTTGGTAGAATAGCAGGTAAGCCACCTTGTTATCTCGGGATCCATACCGTCCAAGAGGAGTGCGGACACCGGAAGACGGTGCTGAAGCTGCACCTGAGGTTGACTTCTTGCTTGAATGGCCGCTGGCGCCGTTGACCTGGCTCCAGCCTCTTTCGTTATCGGACTGCTCCAAGTCGTCTTGGTCAATATGATCAAAGATGTTGGCATTCGGTCCGTCACGCTTGTGTTGCTCGAGCGCCGCCGCAAGAACCTTGGGGTCTTCCTCGCCCCCAGCCTGCGCAACATCCTCACTCCGAACCCGACGAATAAGAGTGTCGTCCAAACGGATCCATTCACGTCCGTCTTGACGACGGACGTCGACGGTGTAGTGGCCGCCACTGGCGTTCTTGCCGTGATGGTAGATGACGCCGACGAGGCGATACTTAGGCAGGCCACCCTGCGCCATCATGATATTGCGCTTGTTGGGCGGGAAGACCTCGCGAGGAATCTCCAGGTCGAGCGGGTATCCAACCTTTTTCCAGATCTTCTGGGTGCCTCTGGTCACACTGTCGTACTGGAACCGTTTCAGGTGAAGGATAAGAACTGGCGGCATAGTTTCAATGAAGATCTGTTTGGTCGCTGTAACATTGGGACCGCGGGAAGAATTGAAGTCCCCTTGAATGCTTTCCGGCTTAGTGAGTCCTTTGAGAGCATCAACAATATTGTTGATCTCAGGAGCTCCAATGTCAAGCTGAAGTGGCTGGTAGGGCTCGAGGGTCACAGAAGTCTTGTTACCAGGCACCCTGAACTCTGACCGGATCTTTCCACCGAAGATCTTCGTAATGGGCGATTCCAAAGCAATATGGCCAGATGAGCGCGTAACAGCAGCCTTCTGCTTGTGACCGACCTCCAACCAGCCATCGCCGGACTCTTCATTTGCAACCTCTGCCTCGGGGTTCGCAGAGGCCGAGGTAGTTGCAGGGGCATCTTTGGCGGCACGATTGCACTCTTCGTGCATTTCTTCCAAAAGGAAGCCCAAGAACTCTTGAGCATCTTGCTGGTGGCCTCTCTGTATTGAGAAAACATTTACGTATTAGCTGGCATGGACCCATGAATTAGGGAATGAAACAGACTTACCCGCATGTCCCTAAAGCGTGGCAATTGCCTGATAACCTCGTAAACAAATTCCGGAACAAAGGCTTCGCCGTAATCCTCGAGCTCGTTTGGTTTCAGCCTGAGCTTCAGCTGTTCCTCAGTGTGTGCAGCATCAATGATGCGGAACTCTCTCATGAACATGATCCTTTAAGTGGTTAGCAAGGCTGACGAATAACGACAAGAAGAACACCGAGGAACTAAGAATGGAGAAAATCAGGTTACTCACAATGCGTCGATCATCGGAAAGTCGCTGTTGAAACTGTGGGACGCCCTCCGTCCAATATGATCCAGAAATTGGTAGAACGGCACGCAGGAAACCAAGATTTGAAGCACCTGGAGGAAAGTCATCAGCTAGTAGCACTTCGTGCTGGCAACTTGGATAAACATACAGAATTCATGTAGCACATGTTGCCGGTATTCACGAGTCCTCTGGGTTGGAGAAAGGCAACTTTATCGCTATACTGTGACACATCGTCTCCTAGTGTCGTCAAGACATCGGCCAGAGACTCGCTCTTGGGCTTGATAACGCCATTTGACACAGCAGGCGACGCGTTGGGAGCACTCGCTCCTTTAGCGAGTGCTTTTGACCGGACCAAATCCGCCCACGACTTTGGCGCTGCAGGGGCAGGCGAGGCCTGCTTAACAGGTTCCTCCGTCTTATTCTGGGACAACTCCTGAGTGTCCTCATTTGTCTTCTCCTGAGCTGTGCCACTGACCGACTTGGGGGTTTCCGACGAGCGAGTCGACTCATCCTTGGTAGCCTGACGAGGAGTACTAGGCGCCGGAACGACTGGGACCACGGGGACTACTGGGATCGTCGGTTTGGCTCCCTTGGACTGCGACTGAGGACGCAGAGGGAGGTTCTGCGCAACTGAAGATGGAGTTGTGGGTTGTGTCGAATTCGCAACTGATGGCGCGGCGGACAAGGTTGGTGTTTGGGGTTCCGATGGCGACTGTTCCGGCTCCAGTCTTTGAACTTCGGTTTGTCTCTCAGGCTGGTCAGCCCGGTGCGGGTCCTTGGTAGGAAGCTCGACGGACACAGATGACGTAGGGAGAAGACGGCTTTTCCTACGTCTGCCCGGGATCCGAGCAGGGAAAGGGTGGTCGGGAACGGAAAGCCAAGGTAGCTGGTGATTTATGTTAGGCGAAGTACTGAGTGCGTGCCAGTCTATACCACTTACCGGTGGGCGGAAAGGCTCCCTAGGCTCGGGAGAAACCTTTGCAGGAGCAGGAGCGGGGGACGATGACACAACGGAGCTCGGCGCTGGGTGCACAGGAACAGTGGCGGGAGACTGTGCCTGAGTCGTAATGGGCAAAGGTGGAAGTCCGACAGGCGGAGACATGGTGCTTTGTAAAGGAGTGGAGGTCCTCGGCTGCATGGGAAGAGACACGGGAGGAATATGGGCCGGCGCCATTATGGGCTGAGAGGGCGGATAGGCAGAAACATACATCGGTCCGTAAGGGTGTTGGTATGGGCGTGGAGGGAGCTGCATGGCAGGATAAGGTGGGTACCATTGAGGGTATTGCTGGGGCGAGTATGCGGCCGGGGGAGGGTGGCCGTTCATATGGGGATGGTACCCCATGTAGGCAGGAGGGGATCGCATGTTGGGAGGAGCTGCAGTGTAAGGAACATCTTGCTGTCGACGAGGAGTAGGCATGGGTGGCTGCCCATGGGGCATTGCGGGCATATGATGGTTCATCATGTCCAGGCAGTCGTAGAGTCGCCTTGACTATTCAGCCACGCGTTGCCTCAATGGGAGCCATACGAGGTCAAGAAGCGAAAGGAAGCAGGACTGGGGGGCGAGCACCCGTCTAAGCAGCCATCCTAACGCCCCGGGCGGGACACTGGAAGCTAAGATAAGGTAATTGTAGACCGAAGCTTGGCGCCTATTTGTGCTCGAAGGATCAGCGTGGTGTACGACGCAAGTTGGACGTTGCGCAAAAGATCGGGGAAGGGTTGGTTGGGCGAGACGTGGTACGAACCTTGTGCAGAACGCGGGGTCAAGCTATAAGGATATGTGGATGAAAGATGAGGCCGGAGAGATAATAAAGCAGGCTAGTAAGACAAGGAAGGGAGGTGGTGAAGAAAGAGGTAAAAGGCCGGACAGCACAATCGGGGGGAAGTGGGTGGATTGCTGGAGCTGAGATGGATGATGTTTTTTTGGCGGACGGCACGTGCCTGAGGCTCCGCTGCGGCAGGATCGCCGGCCCTGGAGATTCACCAACAAACCCAACAGAGCCTCACCAGTTGTTACGTTCTTTCTTGAATCAGGTATACTTACTCTTGGAATAATGGTAATAACAGGCAAGCTTGTAGTAGTCTACTATGGATTGGGTCATGATCAAAGTTCTCATATTTCTTAGATCTCTCTCCGATCAGTATTCTCTTGAGACTGTGTTGTCCTGATTAGGAAAGAGAGCTAGGTTACTAGCACCTTCCATCTGGAAAGACGCGCCGTGACTCCGAATGAGCCCAACAGAAAAGCTTCATCTATCTAGCTGTTTATCATTTTTATCTAATTATTGTAATTGGTACACATATGTGGCCATCAAAATTCATAAAAACACGTTCGACTCCTGACCCATGCTCTTCCCAGAATGTATCTGCAAACAACCCCCCACATATGATTATAACATAATATTCGTGATATAGTTGATAAAAATCCACAGAGTACCGTATAGAAAAGATTGTAAACGATGAAGTAGATCACCAGGAGCTGGTGGACGAAAACGCACAGGTAGTCGCACCTTCTATGCCCCTCTTTGGATATTGGTCGACATAAGTGTAATTTTCTTGTTCTTTTTCTTTTTCCCGCCGGAGGAAGAGGCTACAGTGTTCGCCTCAGCAGCCGATTGAGCCATGAGCTCCCTTTCTTGCTGGGCCCACAGCTCCTCTTCCCAGCCCTGCAGCCAACCATCGGCAGGGGCTTGTGAGCTCGATGGAGCCGAAAGTGTCGGAGCGGCCACGGTTCCCCACACCGTACGAGATCCGGGGGGACTCGAGGAGGGAGGAGGCGAGGCAGAGGAAGAACCTATATCAAAGCCAGAAGGCTCACCAGCAGAGCCCGATAACGGCTGAAAGTCGCGGTCGGAGAAGGGAGGTTCATCGATGGGGCCAA